CAATGAAAAAAACGCAGTGGAACTGGCTTCCGGAGTTGATTTTGAGGGCTATATAGGGTCAGTATGCACTCACCGGCCAGTCTAGTACTGGGTCGGACCCCACTTTGTCTCCAGAACAGCCTGAATTCTTCGGGGCATTCTACAAGGTGTCGGAAACAATCCACAGGGATGTTGGTCCATGCTGACGCGATCACATCACGCAGGTACTGCAGATTGGACGTCGGTACATTCATGCTGCGAATAGCCCGTTCCATTTTATCCCAAAGATGCTCTATTGCAGTGGTCATCAACTGTATGCCAAACATTTATGTAGAGAAACCAACGATAAAGGCTTGCGTTCCTATTTATTTTTCTATTCGTCTTGCACTGTTGGCGGTAGGTGCACTTGATTCAGAAGCCCTGCGCGCCGGGTAGGCAAAGTGTTCCCATTTTTAACCTTTTCATTTGTCTGAAGGGACAAACTCCGCCTACCCAGAGCTGTGGCTAAATCATGTTTGCCTACTGCGCTGGCCAATCAGATAGCTCAAATCACCATGCCTACAGCTTCCAGGACCACAGCAAAGTCCGATACTAGCCTACGTGAGATTTCATAACTTATAAAACCATGACCAGTGAAAGACTGTCAAAGAATACAGCAAAGAGCTGCTGTTTTTATGAGTGAGTTCTGTTTTTATGAGTGAGTTCATGTTTAAGTTTTTATTCAGCACTTTCAACACTGTTTTTATTCAACACTTTTACAAAACATGAAGTGGGCTTCTCCCAACTTCCACTCGTGGTGCAGCTGCAATGAATGTGTTGTTATTATTAGCAGCACTCGTGTTTATTTTAATATGAAGGAATATTTCACTTTCTCTGGTCATAGGAACAACATGAATTTGTGCATGAGGCAGAAATAATGCCGTGCGACTCGAGTTTGCCATCAGGTGGAAGACGGTGTCCCTTCTCTGTGGTCACTCTCACCGCGGAGGAAAGGAGAAAGCAGGGACCGTGAGAGGCGGACCCTCTACTGCCATCTCCCTCCCTCCGGTGAAATTGACCATCAGATGCTGGTACCATACAAAAAGCGAATTACTTGCTAATTATTTCAATTTATGCTCAGCTGTGCCTCGTAAGTGATACAACAACTGATTTGTTATCAAAGCTCGAGTTTTGAGTCTGAGAAGAGCAATATTGGAAGGCCAAGCACATAGCCAATATGATGTGATGATGTATTAGGACTACTGCACAAACCTCATTCCAACAGAACAGTTGTTTATTAGGTCAATGTTGCACTAACTGTAAGTCGCTCTGGATAAGAGCGTCTGCTAAATGACTAAAATGTAAATAGGCTTACATTTTTAAAGTGATGTAAAAACATTTTTTGGAGCGGTATATCTCTGCTTGCCTTTTGACTGTAAAAGTGATTTTGACTCAGAAAAGGTTGGCGAACGTTGCTCTGTTGGGTTGAGGTCTGGGGACTCAAGTCAACTGAACTCACTGTTATTTTCCAGGCAATGAACTGGCCGGTGAGTGTATATTTAGGGTCAACCTATATAGGGTAATCAATATTTAGGGTCAATATATTGTATACTTTGGGCCAATCTACATTTAGGGTCCCAGCTAGTACATTTGGTTCCTTGGAAGTTGTGGGAACGTACGTTTTTGGTTTCCCATTGGTTCTGGGAACGAAGCCATACGTTTCCTGACTGGTAAAACTTAACGTTTTTTTTCACGTTCAGAAAACGGAACGGTTCCCTGAAAGTTTTCCTGGGAGGTTTTATTAACGTTCTGAGAATGGATTATTTGAAGGTAATTAAATAACGTTCTGAGAACATGTTTCAATAAGACTTTCATAACACTGATGGACTTAGTTTGGCAGAAGGCTAGACAACTAGTCAACTATCTAGTAAACACTTTGGATACGAGGTTGGTGTCTCTTTTTTGAACAAAATTAAACAGATATATCAAAAAGCTGATAATAGTAGTATTTCCACTGAAATGTCCAACATGGTAATTGCTAACCCGTTAGCTAAAATTTTTAAGACACCAATAATCACAAAACATTGATGGCTTGATCACAAGATAACGCTGTTGAAGGTAATATATATATTTTTTTTGTCATTTAGCAGACGCTCTTATCCAGAGCGACTTACAGTTAGTGAGTGCATACATTATTTTTTTCATACTGATCCCCCGTGGGAATCGAACCCACAACCCTGGCGTTGCAAACGCCATGCTCTACCAACTGAGCTACATCCCTGCCGGCCAATCCCTCCCCTACCCTGGACCAATTGTGCGCCGCCCCATGGGTCTCCCGGTCGCGGCCGGCTACGACAGAGCCTGGATTCGAACCAGGATCTCTAGTGGCACAGCTAGCACTGCGATGCAGTGCCTTAGACCACTGCGCCACTCGTATTTCTTAAACGCTGTTGAATATGCCGATAATACGGGGTTCCACGCTAGCTTAGTTTGGGTTAACTGTTTTGAACTCCAAGCACAGATGGGAAACATGGAAATTAATTTGTTTAGGCATTAATCATGCAAACACATTTCTTTTTTTTATTGTGGCACGGCATCAGTGAGATTCGAACCTATGATCTTCTGTTCTCTAAGCATGAAATTAGTTCACTGTGCCACCATGATGGAGCTAACATGCCATGTTTTTTTTGTTTTTTTGACTTATACAAAGCTGTTCATTTTAGTCTATTCAAACCGACCCCCTTTTTATATTTTTTTATTTTATTTATTTTATTTCACCTTTATTTAACCAGGTAAGCCAGTTGAGAACAGGTTCTCATTTACAACTGCGACCTGGCCAAGATAAAGCAAAGTAGTGCAATAAAAACAACACAGAGTTACATATGGGGTAAAAATCATAAAGTCAGAAATACAACAGAAAATATATATACAGTGTGTGCAAATGTAGCAAGTTATGGAGGTAAGGCAATAAATAGGCTATAGTGCAGAATAATTACAATAGTATTAACACTGGAATGCTAGATGTGCAAGAGACTATGTGCAAATAGAGATACTGGGGTGCAAAAGAGCAAAATAAATAACAATATAGGGATGAGGTAGTTGGGTGAGCTAATTTCAGATGGGCTGTGTACAGGTGCAGTGATCGGTAAGGTGCTCTTACAACTGATGCTTAAAGTTATTGAGGGAAATAAGAGTCTCCAGCTTCAGAGATTTTTGCAATTCGTTCCAGTCATTGGCAGCAGAGAACTGGAAGGAATGGCGGCCAAAGGAGGTGTTGGCTTTGGGAATGACCAGTGAGATATACCTGCTGGAGCGCAGACTACGGGTGGGTGCTGCTATGGTGACCAATGAGCTAAGATAAGGCGGGGATTTGCCTAGCAGTGATTTATAGATGGCCTGGAGCCAGTGGGTTTGACGACGAACATGTAGTGAGGACCAGCCAACAAGAGCGTACAGGTCACAGTGGTGGGTAGTGTGCCACTAGAGATCTAGTGTGCCACTAGAGATCCTGTCGTAGCCGGCCGCGACCGGGAGACCCATGGGGCGGCGCACAATTGGTCCAGGGTAGGGGAGGGATTGGCCGGCAGGGATGTAGCCCTTTCAAAGTAAACAAGCACTCATTAAGATCCGGTGTGGCCAAATAGTGGGAGCGGCCAACATACCTGAACATACTTAACAAGATAGACGATAGAGTTATGTTGATGCTAATGTCATTAAATAACATTCTTAGAACGTTTTTTTTAACGTTACTGTTTCTTGTGGTTTTTATGGACCGTTTAAAACATTTTTTAAATGAAATTCCCACAGAAGAATGTGGTTTGTTAACGTTCTCTGAACAATTTCAGAACATTACTTTAAATAGAATCATGAGGAAACCTGTAGGAAACGTTATGCTGAAGTACTGAAATTCCCATCTAAGAAACATATGGTTCTCAGAACATCATGTGCTAGCTGGGGTCAATAGGGTCAAGAAGCACCATGGAATTCTTTGAAAAATATTATTTATTGATGGAATTATAGGAATTGACAAACAAACAGCAATAGCCATTGGTCAAATTGGTACAAAAGGACAGTTTTTCACTCTCACAGTACAACTGCAGGATCTGCTATAACTTTAGTCTGAGGCACCTATATTGAACCATTATCAACCTTAACAGTCAATGTGAGTGATGCTGTTGGCCTTAAAGAAGCCAAGAAAACGTATCTTTGTAGATAATGTAAATATGAACCACGTTGTATTGTAAACGTATGAGACCAAGGCAAACATCCTGCAGACATATGACTACGTTACATCAACTGACGTTTGAACTCATGATATTGCTATAACAGCATTTTTCAATAGGAATCTCTTGCTTCTGTGCAATTTCTCAATGATGAAGCTTCTGATGTCTTTTCAGATTGCTGGAGTGGGAGAACCTGCGCCCGCAATGTGCACAACTGAAGGGCTTCTCGCCGGTGTGGACGTTCAGGTGCATTTGGAGCTTGGCGCGGGACACAAATCTCTTCTCACACAAGGTGCAGGCGAACGGCCGCTTTCTGGTGTGGATGACAGCGTGCTGCCGCAAGTCACTCTCGTGGACAAACTTCTTATTGCAGCTTGGGCAACCGTACGGTCGTTCTACGGTACCAGGTCTAACGTCTGTGGCGAGATTACTCGAGTGAGAGGAAGTTGTGGCGCTTGGTCTAAAATGGCTGACAGGAAGTGGGGTTTGAGCTGGTTGTTCAGCTCTTCTTCCTGGTATTTCAGAGTGTCTATGGAGGCTTGCCAATGAGCACCAACTATCTTTGTTGGCCTCACCTGCATTTCCTGTGCCAAGATGCATGCCTGTATTTATTTCTGAGGGCCGGAAGCTGGGTGAAACCAATTGCATAGTGTTGTCTCTCATCGATTCGTGGTGAATCATTGGTGCGTTTCTGTTAAACACTCCCACTTCCTGCTTATTTCCAGTCCCCTTGACCTGTGGTGTAGTAGCTGTACCCACCTGACCCCACTCAAAATCTCTATCTACCTGCTGCCCACTGGATACAGAGTCAATCACTATCACATGTTCTGATGAGGAATGGAACCTGTGGTTTTCTAACCCTACACTTCTCATTTCTATGGCAGAGCTAGTCTGCATTTCTGAGCCCACTGGGCCACTCCCTAGGTCCATTACTTTAGTGTGAGCAGCAGAGGCACCATCATCAGTCACTACTACCTCTCTCCACACCTGGTTTAAAGAATCTCTTAGAAGAGTGAGATCCCTGTTCATGTCACACTTTGTGTCCAGACTCTGTCTCTCTGCTCGGAGTTCAAATTCTGTGTCCTGCTGGGGTCCCTGGTTCATATTCCCTGTTTCTGATTGGAGGAGGACGTCGTCAGATCCACTGACCTCCATAGCGGTGTTGTTGTAGTTGTTGTTGCCTTTGGGGCCACTGGACTGGAAGGCGGGGTCCTCTGTGGTGGCTGCAGCCGGTTGGGTGGTTAGCTCTCTGCTGCCCTCCACTGTTCTGGCTGGGTGGCTGGACCTAGAGTCCTGGTCATCTGCTTCTCCCTCTTCCTTGATGATCAGCAGGTCTAGTTCCCCTTCCTCTGTCTCTCCTGACTGCTGATGGGGTTAAGTGGGAGAGATGAGCATACACTTTCTACATGCCTAAACATCAGACTGTTACCATGGATATTCAGTCTGAAAGTAGTCTGCCTAAAAAAGACGCAAGAGTCTCTACAAGCCAGAATGTTGAATAAAATGATATTTACACTTACTTTACTGGTTGTACGTGCTGTTGGTCCTTTTGGTGGTAGGAGGTGGAGATAGGGTATCCACAGGAAAGTGTTGTTTACCCTACTTTTTGCGGCGCCGGTAGGTTCAGTCGCTTGTATTTTCAATCTCCTGATGCATTGCACATGACGCACAATATGTAAACAATAGCAGGATCTAACCGGACGTAGTCGACGTAAGCAGGTTTCCTCGCAAGCAGCTGGAAGGGTTTGTGACATTTGCCATCTGATTGCGTGGGACTACGTTCGGTCTGTTGGTTGGTTAGGCTCGGCCATATTGTGCAAGTGTTTGTCACGTGCGAATTGCATCAGTATTGAAAATACAAAATCAGAAATACAAACCGATAGACAGACCAGAGTACTGAAGGTCGGGTTGATAACGCTTCCCTGTGGATATTTTGTCTCAGGTTACAGATTAGTTGAAGTAAATTTAAATTAAGTTTGTTCAACATTCTGGCTTGTAATGGGACTGTTGGGGAATGCTGAGCCTACATGTTAGAAACCAGAGTGTAAGTATTTCACAATCTGATTCTAAAAAAGGCTAACTATCTACTGAATGGAGATATGGGCATGACATGGGGATTTAGTAAAATTCATAGTAGTTGCCTTGTTGTTATTGTGTTATAATCAGTGGTGTAGTGGAGGGTAAACTCCACCTTTTGTATTTTGCGTGAGCGTTTACAAACCTTTTGCGCAAAAATGCATTGAAAGTATAGGGAGTATTACTCTACTCACCGCAAAGATCGCTGGTTATAATGTGCTGTCATATATACGTCTATACAGACATAACCTCTTCCCCAGGCGGAAGTGTCTGGTGTCCGAGACTAAAACAGACATAGGTCTGTGACTGACTGAAATCAGCTGTTAAAATTGGGCGTTACCTCATCACTTGTAGCATCCATATGCTTTGACGGAGAGACATCCTCTTGGTCCACGTCTATGGGCTGTCTGTCTCTTTGAATGCTGCTGTTCCCAAAACTCCTGTTGGAAAGTCTGGCTCTGCTTTGCCAAGTAGGTCCTGGAAAAAAAATACATTTCATAACAATGATGGTTTACAAAATTATGATCATCTTCAATTTGACCTATCCATCAATGGTGTTTAACAAATAACAAAGCAAGCATAATATGTTAATGACGTGGGTAATGTGTCTATAGAGCTAGAAGGATTCTAGCTGTGTTAACAGTACCATATACACTAAGTGGCCAGTTTAGGTACACCACCCCCTTCACGAAAATGGTTTGCTCCTACAGACAGTGAGTCTGGTGGCCCTGGCTTGCTATATAAAGCAGGCAGACAGGCATCCAGTTACTGTTCGACTGAACGTTAGAATGGGCAAAACGAGTGACCTAAGCGACTTTGAGCGTGGTATGGTCGTCGGTGCCAGGCGCGCCAGTTCCAGTATCTCAGAAATGCCTGGCCTCCTGGGCTTTTCACGCACGACAGTGTCTAGGGTTTACCAAGAATGGTGCGGGAAATAAAAAACATCCAGTCAGCGGCATTCCTGTGGGCGAAAACAGCTCGTTGATGAGAGAGGTCGAAGGAGAATGGCAAGAATCGTGCAGGCTAACAGGCGGGCCACAAACAGGCAAATAATGGCGCAGTACAACAGTGGTGTGCAGAACCGCATCTCGGAACGCACAACTCGTTGGTCCTTGTCACGGATGGGCTATTGCAGCAGACGACCACATCGGGTTCCACTCCTATCAGCTAAAACCAAGAAGAAGCGGCTCCAGTGGGCACGCGATCACCAACACTGGACAATTGAGGAGTGGAAAAACATTGCCTGGTCCGACGAATCCCGGTTCCTGTTGCGTCATGCTGATGGCAGTCAGGATTTGGCGTAAGCAGCATGAGTCCATGGACCCATCCTGGCTGGTGTCAACAGTACAGGCTGGTGGGGGTGGTGTAATGGTGTGGGGGTGTGGGGAATGATTTCCTGGCATATGTTAGGTCCCTTGATACTAATTGAGCTATGCTTCCATGCCCCGAAGAATTCAGGCTGTTCTGGAGGCAAAGGGGAGTCCGACCTGGTACTAGATGGATTTACCTAATAAACTGGCCACTAAGTGTATACATCCTGGATGTATGCATAACACATATAGGGCTAATGTCAATAATACAACTGTTATGTATGGTACGACGTGCTGTACGTCGTACTGTACGTTGTTATGGTTTACGACAGTGTGCTGCGTTACGGATGAATGGGTTGTCAGAATGTGTGGCACATGTCATTAAACGAGAGAGTGATGTACAATGTGAAACTGTGCAGATGTCCGTTCTTCTACAACTAGGCTAGATATAACATTGGTGACGAAGATGGCTGAAATTCAGTTTACCACCGCCAGCACCATTCCTCGCCGTGCCTGGCGAACCTCCAGTCCCGTGGAATAACTGGCTTGATAGTTTTAACACTTATCTAGAAGCTATGGACTTTTCTACAATCTCCGACAAGCGGAGGACAGCACTGCTCCGTCACTGCCTTGGTACAGAGGGACAGAGGATTTTCAGAGCGCTTGGATCGGCTCCTACATTCACTGCTGCAGTCAGCCTCTTACGGAACCACTTCGCCGGGAAAGAGCGAGTGCTCCTCCGACGCTACCGGCTACGGAAGAGACACCAACGGCCGGGTGAGTCCATTCAAAGCTACGTGGCTAATCTGAGGGATTTGGCTAGCTCTTGTAACTACGGGACACTTCAGGACGAGATCATCAGGGATCAGTTGATAGAGGGGACGTTATGTGAAAAGACAAGGGAGAAACTGCTTTTGGAATCGGATAATTTACAACTAGATGGAGCTATTAAAATAGCACTCCAGGTTGAAGCGGCGTTGGAATGCTCTTCTATGCTAACAGACAGCTCTGCAGCATACACTCGGCCCCCAGCCATTCTCACACAGCAGCTTCAGCCCGAGCAGGCGCACTACAACGATCACGTGCTGCGCACGCCCTCCCGCGTCGATAGCTGCATGGACACAGACACCGACATGCCCGTGCAGCAGGCACACAGACAAACAAACAGAAGTAGCTGTGGCAACTGTGGGGCTAGCTCTCACAATTCAAGGGCTTCAAACTGCCCAGCCCGTGGAAAAATATGCAAGAACTGTTCAAAATACAATCACTTTGCGAAAGTGTGTCGTTCTGCCCCTGCTACTAGCTCCACCCAGAACAGGCCCTTAGTTTCATCTCACTCTCAACATGAACACACGGAAATCCGAACCGTCTCCACCAACCATGTGTCATTCAGGACATGCACTGTGCAGCTGGGTGAGGTGGGTTTGCCTTTGCTGCTGGATACTGGCGCTGCGGTGTCGTTGCTCAACCTTGCCACTTACTACAAGTTTTTTCAGTCACCTACCACTCCAACAGCCCTCCACTGCCCTGTGTGGGTACGGTAGATCCAAGATAGACATTGTAGGCACCCTCCAGGTCCCAGTACACTACGGCACCAAACATCTGCCATCATTCACATTTCATGTTGCAAAGCGGGGTGCCAACCTCCTGGGCCTCGACCTCTTCACAGGCTTGGGATTCACACTGAGAGATGACAGTGGGTCAGCTATCTACCAGGTTACCTGCACATGGCAACAGAACTGGCCGACTCTGTTTGATGGACTGGGCTGCCTCACAGCCTTTACTCACAGGCCCCTAGTGAATCCGGAAGTGACCCCAGTCATGCAGCCCCTGCGGCGCATTCCCTTTGCACTGCGTGATGACGTCACAAAAGATCTCCAGTCACAGTTGGATGCAGGCATCATTGAGCCAGTCAACGCTGCCCCCTGGATTTCAAACTTGGTCATTGCAACCAAAAAGTCCGGTGGAATCCGGACCTGTGTGGATCTCCGTGCTGTGAACAAGGCCGTTGTCCCGGATAAGTACCCCTTGCCTACAGCTGAGGAGCTGACCGCACAATTCCATGGCTCCACGATCTTCACGAAGCTTGACCTTCGTCAGGGTTATCTTCAGGTACCCCTCCATGCAGCTAGCAGAGACCTCACGGCCTTTGTCACACATGCTGGCGTGTTCAGATATACATGCATGCCTTTTGGACTTAGCTCCGCCCCCAGCTGCTTCCAGAAGGTGATGAGCACCATCCTCGCTGGAATACCTGGGGTGGCGGTCTATCTGGATGACATCGTGGTCCACGGCCCTGACCTCCACATCCATGATTATCGACTCCACAGAGTATTCAGTGCTCTACTGCGGAACAACCTGACCCTTAACGGTGGAAAGTGCACCTTTGCAGCTCCAGCCGTCGAGTTTGTGGGCTTCCGCCTGTCGGCCAAAGGCATTGCCCCACTCATGTCGAACATTGAAGCCGTCCACCGGATCCCGGAACCGACCTCAGCCTCTCAGGTGGCCTCATTCTTGGGCATGACAGCTTACTACCTCCGGTTTCTGCCCCACTACTCTCAGACCACAGCGCCCCTTCGCCAGCTCCTCAAGAAGGATGAGCCATGGGCCTGGACGGCAGCCTGCTCAGACGCGGTCCGCTCACTGAAGAGCCAGCTCACCACAGCCCCAGTCTTGGCTCACTTTGACCCCGTCTGCCACACCATTGTCACATGTGACGCCTCAGCTGGAGCACTAGGAGCTGTCCTCTCACAGCTGCAGAATGGCATTGAGAGGCCCGTCGCCTTCGCCTCAAGGGCCCTGAGCCCCACAGAACAACGGTACTCTGTGGGCGAACGAGAAGCACTGGCCTGTGTCTGGGCGTGCGAAAGGTGGCACCTCTACCTATATGGCCGTCTGTTCACACTCCGAACCGACCACTAGTCCCTCACAACGCTACTGTCAGCATCAGGAACTGGCCACAAGCCACTTCGGCTGCACAGATGGGCCGACCGCCTCAGACAGTATGACTATCAGCTGAAGTTCACTCCGGGGAGGGATAACGTGGTGGCAGACCTCCTCTCACGCTCCTTTGACGCTCTTACTCCGACCGTCTTGCCAGACGACAACGAAACAGAGCTTGTACAAATGCTCTACGCTCCTCTTCAGTCAGTCGTCTCACTGGAGGAGCTGAAGCAAGCATCGGAACAGGATCCCACACTGTCTACCCTGCGCACCTACATACGCACTGGATGGCCAGCACATGTGCCGGAAGAGCTGGCGACTTTCGCCAGGGTGAAGCACGAACTTTCTTGCTGGGAAGAAGTCTGTGTCTCTCGAGGGTTTTGCACTGTGGTCCCGAGTGGCCTGCGTGCGCGTGTTCTATCCATGGCGCATGAGGGTCACTTGGGCATAGTGAAGGTCAAACAGCGATGTCGAGACCTTGTGTGGTGGCCAGGCATCGACCACGACATTGAAGCCCTGGTCAGGGATTGTGCTGCATGCCTCCTCAGTGGGAAAACAGGACAGTCTGCCCCACCCCCCCTGCAGCCTCTCGCATGGCCGTCCCACCCCTGGGAGCACATCCAACTGGACATCTGTGGCGAGATCCATGGACACGCAGTCCCTCACCATCAGCGCTTCCTGGTGGTGGTGTATGACCTCCACTCTAAGTGGCCAGAAGTGGTTCCTGTCGGAACTGTCACAGCACAGGCCATCGTGGACATCCTAGACAGCCTGTTCACAAGGTGGGGCCTACCCCTCACCCTTACCACGGACAATGGGCCCCAGCTAACCTCTGCCGAGTTCTCCTCATATCTCAGCAACAAGGGAATCAAACACATCCGCACGGCCTACTACAACCCACAAGCTAACGGAGGGGTGGAACGCTTCAACCAAACGCTGAAGAACGGCATCAGAGCGCACCTGGTCCAGGGGTGCACGTTCCAAACTGCTTTGAATCAAACGTTAATGCACTACAGAGCAAGCAAACACACAACAACACAGGTCTCCCCGGCATCCCTCATGCTAGGTCGTGAGATGGAACTGCCACTGGACAGACTCAGAACACAGAGAGTAGCAGAACCGGCGACTAGGCGCACCCAAGAACAGCAGGCAGTGACCAGGCACCAAAAGCAATGAAGCAGCGTTTTTGACAAGGCCACACAGGGTGAAGAATCGATCATCCAAGTGTTCAGACTGGGTCCGAGCCCCTACGCCTCAGCGGTGCACAAATGGCCCATTCTGGGTCGACCCCCCTTGCAGGTCAGTCACGACAACTGGGGCCCGCCACATTCATGATGACAATGGATCACGCTGGCACGCCAGCCCGCCTCAAGAAATTCCCTGCCCCTCAAGGAACACACAGGCACACAAAACATCATGCAGGTCCGAACTCCACCGTATGAGCCTCCTCCCACCACTACCACCCTGAGCCCCAGCTCTGTGGGTTCCACAAGGCAGAGCCACAAGCGGTGGCGGTTTGAAGAAAGGCCTATGCGGGCACGAACTCGCCCTGCGTATCGGGGGACTACTTAACCTCTTTTCCATTCTTGGCTCAGTTAGGTGTCTTAGTCCACCTCCCATGTAATGGATTAACTGGCTAGTTTGGAGAGTCCATCCGTTTAAGGGTTAATGTTTATTTCTTACAGGTATCACTCTAGGTTCTTGCCCTATGGACATTTTATATATGGTACCAGTCCCTGGTTTTGGAAAGGGGGGGGGGGGAAATGTTATGTATGGTACGACGTGCTGTACGTCGTACTGTACGTTGTTATGGTTTACGACAGTGTGCTGCGTTACGGATGAATGGGTTGTCAGAATGTGTGGCACATATCATTAAACGAGAGAGTGATGTACAATGTGAAACTGTGCAGATGTCCGTTCTTCTACAACTAGGCTAGATATAACAACAACCCTAACTGTATTGAAATGCATACATCACGGCCGTATTATGCTTAATTTGTACTTTATGAAACACCATTGATGGATGGGGTCAAACTGAAAATTATCATAATTTAGCCTATGTAAACACTGTAAATTTCAGCTCATCACCAACCTGTCGTTGCAGTCTCTCGATTGTTGTGTCTGTTCAGCAGGCGTATTCCATGGAAGCGGTTGTGGACGGACCCCTCTGAAGACTTTGTTTTCTCTGCTCTAAACCTTGCGATCTGAAGTTCCATCAGTTTCATTTTCCTCCGGAGAAATTCGTTCTCCTTGTGGCTTTGGGACATCTCCAGGTGTACAACCGCATAGCCATCGTCAACAACTTTGCAGATTTCGGCTACAGCCGCATTGGCTAGCACCTCCATGATTGAGGCTATGTGCGCCTGGAAATCTACCACGGAACCCGACATTGTCTCACGACGCTTCAATGAAACAGTCTTTGTGTTTTTCTATATTATGATCATTCACAATTATCTAGCTAGCTAATAAAATTGATACAATCATGGCACAAACTAAACATCGCTAGCTAGCTTTGTTTGTAAGCAGCTGGTGATATTTTTCTTTTTCCTCATCTTCACAGTAATGTAATCATAAACTGGACTGTGCAATTCAATTGAAAGTACAACACCGCCACCTACTGTAGAGGAGTACACCACAATAACAACAATGCTTTAAATATGTAATACTGCTTTCACATAGGATTTACGGTACTTCCCCCCCCACAATAACAACAATGGTTTAGAAATGTGATACTGCTTTCACATAGGATTTACGGTCTTTTGGGCCATTTTTATATGACCCCCTTACACAACATGCACATTTTTACGACATTCTTGCCTGAATACACCTTTTATACCTCCCATGCGCATGCCGCTGTTGAGTGCTACTATTGGTGTTTAGATGTGGTTGATATATATATATATATATATACCATCAAAAAGAAATCCATTATTAATGCTTTCAGGCAGGTCCTAAGAAACATTACAAGACTAATAAACATGTATTTTCAAAAGAATAAAATAGCATATTTTGGGTTTAATTAGGCTACGTTACGTCCAAATGAATAAAATGTATAGTTAATTATTTTGTTGAATGAAATTAATAGTTAATTATTTTGTTAATTGCACAGACAAGACCCACCTACCCGATCACAGTCAACACATATTTTATAGTAAGAATATAATGGAATAAATGTTTTAAAAATGTGACGTGTGGATCCGCTGTCATATAAAATAGTGGTAATTTGAAACAGAGCCCAAGTCCATGCTTTTTTGTTCCACATATCATCTCTACCCTCACTCCACTTTGTTAGGGTGCATTCATAGTATATTCATCATGATACCGATAGAAAATAATAGCAATCTATATTTTCAAAAGCATGTGAGTCTCGTGTTCATATTTCACAACCTCCGCGGGCTTTTAGAGTTGCCTATACGCGATCGAACAAAAAATAGGGCTACACTTGATTTAGGCTACATTATTGCATGCTAAATGTTTCTGATCAGTAATAGATGAGCAAACGAATACTTATTTGCGCAGCCATTGAATTAACCAAGTAGCCTACCTATAGTAACAGATGGAGATTCAGTGAAACAAAAGGTTTTTGGTCGGGAGTAAGCCTAGGCTACTAAACGACTGGAGTGAAGATCAACATAATCCACCTGTTAAGACTATGTAACATGCTGGCAAAATATTCTAATAAATGAGCCAACTAGACAAGATGATGAGAGCAGCACTCACCTCAACTATAGATAACATTTCCCCAGCCTAACCAATATCCAAACGGAGATTCAGTGAAAATTATAATCTGACATTGATTTTTCAAGACGAGTCCCCAAGCTTGTCTCAAAGCACCAATCAAAACAATTACCATCTAGTTGACCACGAAGATAGGTATTGTTTAACATTTATTACATTGATTGGATGACTTTGGGAGTTTCAGTAAACAACAATTTGACACATGCCATCAATTTGATACCAGCAGCATACCACCCTGCATCCCACTGCTGGCTTGCCTCTGAAGCTAAGCAGGGTTTGGTCCCTGGATGGGAGACCAGGTGCTGCTGGAAGTGGTGTTGTAAGGCCAGTAGAGAGCACTTCCCTCTGGTCTAAGGAGATCCCCAGGGCAGTAAAGGGGACATTGCCCTGCATAGGGCGTTGTCTTTCGGATGGGACGTTAAACGGGTGTTCTGACTCTGTGGTCATTAAAAATCCCATGGCACTTATCGTAAGAGTAAGGGTGTTTACCCCGGTGTCCTGGCTAAATTCCCAATCTGGCTATCATACCATCATGGCCACCTAATCGGCATATATCACTCCTCACCTCTCTAGCTGATGTTTGGTAAGTGTTCTGGCACAAAAATGGTCGCTGTGCATCACCCAGGTGGGTGCCACGCATTGGTGGTGGATCAGGTGAGTTTGTCCCTTAAAGCACTTTGAGTACCTCAGTTGGTAGAAAAGCGCTATATAAATTATTATTATTATTCAATCGCATTAGCCTACTTTATTCTATTATGACTGACATTAAATATATATTCATTCCATCCATCACATCTCTATAACTTGCTTGTGGCCTATCAGTCTAATAGTACATCTATCTTGTTGAGAGGCAAAGGGAAATTAGAAATCTTATGAGATAGATTATTTTATTTTATTGTATTTTTTTCTTTCTTATATTTCTGTATGTTAACTATATATTTTAACTAGGCCTCGGACGTTGCTGTAAATGACACTGTATTCAGAGGGGTTGGGTTAAATGCGGAAGACACATTTCAGTTGAATGCGTTCAGTTGTACAACTGACTAGGTATCCCCTTTTCCCTATTCTCAGTCAACTCACCTGGTAAAATAAATAATAAATTAAATTAAATAAAAATACTGTACTTTGGTTTGCCACTGCACCAATACAAATTCATAAGGATGTTTAAAATCTTCACCTGTCATAAGTTATACATGATCAGTCCACTCTGGACCAAGCATCAAGCCAGTTGAACTGAAAACACAACCACTACACACAAAGGGAAGCGTTCAATGTGGAAACCATCCAAACTGTTAAAAACACATAGACCTAGTTTTCATATGAAAACCCCAGTAGTGTGGAGCCATTCCCTTTACAACTAGGGTCAGGAGTTTTTTCCTGGTCTGGTCACATTGTGAGGGAAAACTCCTGGCCCTAACTATCATTATGTCAGGTGGAGTAGTGTAAAGTTGCCCCTAGAAGCTGATCTTTGGTCAGTTTAGCATTTTTTCCCACTAATGGTTAAGGTTAGGATTGGGGGAGAGGAAGCTGATCCTAGATCTGTACCTAGGGGAAACTTCACCCTGGAACACTCAGGGCAGCCCAACATCCTGTGGCCTGCTGCCAGTGTGGACGAGGAGGTGCCTCTTCATGTGGCCAGACTGGGTGAAGGACTTCCCACAGTAGACACATTGAAACGGTTTCTCTCCGGTGTGCACCCTCTCATGCATCTTCAGCTGGTGGCTGTGGGAGAAGCGCTTGGTGCAGTGGCTGCAGCCGTATGGTTTCTCCCCCGTATGGACCCGCATGTGCCTCCTTAGGTATGCCGGCTGGGGGAAGGGCTTTCCGCAGAGGCTGCACCGGAGCTGCCTCTTGGCCAAGCGAGACGTTAGCTGTTGCGGCTGCTTTTCCATGCCTTTTGATGAAGAAGTTGAGCCTCTGTTGAAATTCGGGAAGGGGGCTTGCTTCCCTCTTTGGGGAACCTGTTGGAGAGTAACCCTTGGGGATGAAAAACTGTTTGGGGTGGACAGTCCGTTGAAATCTGGCAACTTGGATCTTGATCCTACAGTTGTCCCTTGCTCTGTGTTTTGAGTGTCAGTGGGACACTTTGTCTGTCCAGACTCCATTCCCCCTCTTCCTCTGTTGTCCACAAGCTGCCTGCGCTCTGAACAGACCTCTCCAGATGTCACCTCTTGACCCGTTATGCTCCATTCTGAACTCATATCTGCCTCCACTTTAATAGGAACCGAGTCCATCAGCATCACATCAGGCAGCCAGTCCAGAGAGCCCAAAGCAGACATGCAGACCCCAGAGTTACCAGGTGCCCCTCTCCTCTCTGGATGTTCAGACAGCCTCTTGGAGTCTGGCCCTGCATTGTGAGGAGCATTCACAGTTCGGTTGTCAGTCTCTTGCTTCTCTGTCCATTGGGACAGGCTGTATGCTATGGGTTGATGGTCAGTTTCCCAGGTCACACACTTAGCAACCTGATGGTCCTGCCTTGCTCTGTTGTATGGTGACGCTGGATGCTGGAACGTCTGGTTTTCAGGTTCTATATTGAGTGTGGTGTCTGGAGCTCTGTGTCTGTTGCCCTGCTGGTCCAGAAGGTCTGTGGTTTCAATAGATGACGAAGCACCTGGTTCTGCCACAACGATCTTCTCACTGGTCTCACTGACCGGTTGGACAATCTCTGAAATGGGGCAAAGTAAAGCACAACATCAGCTTCCTGTAGTGGAGACTGATTCTTCTTTGCCTTATTTATTAATGATGGGTTATGACTAAGAAGTTAATCAAATACGGCAACAAACATTGAAGGCTTTACTCAACATAAAGTGTAAATTGCATAGATTTGATAAGTTGCATAATACCTTCTGTTATGCTGGTGTCAAGGTTCTCCATTTTGATAAGCGGTGCCTCTTGCATGTCTGCCATCTGTGTTTTTGTATTCAGCAGAAACATTTTTATTAGAAAAATATCCCCACCAACATTTGAAATATGAGAACCCAAATAATCAATTTGACCATGTCCATGACAACTGACCTGCATGCCCCCATCCTGGTCTGTCGCTGTGCGTCCTGAGTCTCTCCGGTTGGTGACATCCTGCATAAAGTTGCCTCCTTCACTGTAGGCAAAACGATTTTCCACTGCACCAGAAAAGAGAACCCTTCATAAACGTTACATTACAAATTATTTTGAATGTGTTGAAATAAGGTTAAAAAAAACTACAATATCCAAGTCTACCTGTTGGCTTTCCTACGAAGCTCTCTCTTCCCCGGGCAACATGATCGGTGTCCACTCGCCTGTGAACTGTGCGTCGCAGGGCTCCGAATCTCTCTGCGCTCCGTCGAGAATTCTGGAACTTTGTCAAAAGCAGCTTCCTCCGCAGGTTATCGATTTCTTTCTGGCTATGGGAAATTTCCAAACGTAAGGCAGCATGGCCGTCATCTACAAGTTTGCAGATTTCTGCAACGGCTGCATTCGCCAAAACCTCAATGATGGAGGCTAGCTGAGCATGAAAGGCGACGGTATTGGACATTCCCTTGGCTTGGTACTATTTCTATGTTAAACACTTATAGTATAGGCTTACTAGCTCATTTGCAATGCAGTGTTCGGTCAATGTCCGGAGACTTCACACCATAGACAGACAGTACGCTTCGAACACATCTCTTTTTTGTTTGTTTTTGTTCCGGAAACGAGAAGATGTAGGCTACTTCCTCGATCTTTTTCCAAAATAAAGGTTGCAACACACATTATTATGTTAGTTCCAACATTGCCACCTGCTGTATCATAGCTGCTACTAAAAGGAATCAAACGTTTTATACAAATCAGCCTTCTTTGACTTTCAATAAAGCAGTGAATTAAATCAAACACACACTTTTCCCTTCAACAATGACTATTTACTATTTAGTTCAAGTACACAAATACACAATCTTCATACAACATTACGTTCAAAGGAATACATAAATGCCTTCAATAAATATAAAGTAAATCGAAGAGTATACTAAGGGTTAATACTAGCCTCAAAACTAACTGAAGCACTACACTGAGAATGCACTCTTAAGTAACCACTTTCTAACTCTGAACAATGTAACAGTAGAAAGAAAAACAATATTTGAATATAGAATGATAAATAGCCAATGCGATTGAGTGGATTGATAATGTATAAATTATGACAGGTGAAGATTTTAAACATCCTTATGAATTTGTATTGGTGCAGTGGCAAACCAAAGAACAGTATTTAAGAATTCAAATGTCTACAAGCAAATTATAGAGATGTGATGGATGGAATTAATATCAATTTAATGTCAGTCATACTGTTGTTATTGCTTTTTAAAAATTATGAAATATTGTTTACACCAGAGAACACCTGGTTTATTACATAGCTACAACATTGTTATTGTGGAGCACTCCTGTACAGTAGGTGGCGGTGTCCAACTTTCAACTCTACAGTTCAGCATATGATTACATTACTAGGAAAAGGAAAAATAATCTCACCAGCTAAAAACAAAGCTAGCTAGCGATGTGTAGTTTCTGATATGATTCTCTTTATTTTAATAGCTAGCTAGATAACTGTAAATTACCATAACATAGAAAACATAAAGACTGTTTAATTGAAAAGGGGCCAAAAGCGTCTTGGACAATGTCGGGTTCCGTGGTCGAGTTCCAGGGGCAGATAGCCTCAATCATGGAGGTGCTAGCCAACGCAGCTGTAGCCGAAATCTGCAAAATTGTTGACGATGGCTATGCCGTTGTACATCTGGAGATTTCCCAAAGCCACAAGGAGAACGAATTTCTCAGGAGGAAAATGAAACTGATGGAACTTCAGGTCGCGAGGTTACGAGCGGAGAGAATAAAGTCTTCAGAGGGGTCCGTCCACAATCGCTTCCATGGAATACGCCTGCTGAACAGACACAACAATCGAGAGAAGGCAATGACAGGTGATGGTGAATTTGACAGTGTGCACATAGCCTAAATCGTTCATCTTTAATTTGACCCCATCCATCAATTTTGTTTTACGACGTTCAACGCAAGCATAATAGTCCATGATGTATGTAATGTCAATACAGTTAGAACCTGGTCGTACAACCTGGTCTCATATCATTTCGTATTATTCGTTACGTAAAACCAAGTTACTCCTTATAGTATGATATATTACGTTTGGTATGGTTACATAAGACAGATGGTCACTTAAGGAGGGTGGTTAACCATTCGTCTAAGCTTAACCCTTTTAGCTAACCCTTCCCCTAACCTTAACCATTTAACCTAACTCCTAAACTTAACCCTAATCCCTAGCCTAGCTAACATTAGCGAGCTAGCTAACCTTAGCCACCTAGATAGAATTTGTAACATATCATACGTTTAGCAAATTTGTAACATATTGTACGTTTTGCGAATATGTAATATATTGTACTTTTAGCATATTCGTAACATATAATATGAATTGTAATTCGTAATATATCGTGCGAAATCGGTAAATTAATACATACCATACAAAACATAACATATCATACTAAAAAGTATCTCGGATTTACATACAGAATAATATGAAATGCTCTGAGGCCAGGTTGAGCGGTATTATTGACATTCCATACAGGATGTATCATGCTTACTTTGTACTGTCAACACAGCTACGATCCTTCTAGCTCTATTGACACATAACATACGTCATGAACGTATTATGCTTGCTTTGTACTTTGTAAAACACCATTGATGGATGGGGTCAAATTAACCTCCCCCTTTATTTCCAGGACCTACTTGGCAAAGCAGAGCCAGACTTTCCAACAGGAGTTTTGGGAACAGCAGCATTCAAAGAGACAGACAGCCCATAGACGTGGACCAAGAGGATGTCTCTCCATCAAAGCATATGGATGCTACAAGTGATGAGGTAACGCCCAATTTTAACAGCTGATTTCAGTCAGTCACAGACCTATGTCTGTTTTAGTCTCGGACACCAGACACTTCCGCCTAGGGATGTGGAAATCCCATGTCATGCCCATATCTCCATTCAGTAGATAGTGTATGCTCTGTCTCACTCACTCATCTCTCCCACTTAACCCAATCAGCAGTCAGCAGCGACAGAGGAAGGGGAACCAGACCTGCTGATCATCAAGGAAGAGGGAGAAGCAGATGACCAGGACTCTAGGACCAGCCACCCAGCCAGAACAGTGGAGGGCAGCAGAGAGCTAACCACCCAACTGGTTGCAGCCACCACAGAGGACCCCGCCTTCCAGCCCTGTGGCCCCAGAGGCAACAACTACAACATCCACACTGCTATGGAGGTCAGTGGTTCTGACGCCATCCTCCTCCAATCAGAAACAGGGAATGTGAACCAGGGACCACAGCAGTACACAGGATTTGAACCCAGAGCAGAGAGACAGAGTTTGGACACAAAGTGTGACGTGTACAGGGGCCTCAATCTCCTAAAAGATGATGGTGCCTCTGCTGCTCACACTAAAGTAATGGACCTAGGGAGTGTCCCAGTGGGCCCAGAAATGCAGACTAGCTCTGCCATAGAAATGAGAAGTTTAGGGTTAGAAAACCACAGGTTCCATTCCTCATCAGAACATGTGATAGTGATTGACTCTGTATCCAGTGGGCAGCAGGTAGATAGAGATTTTGAGTGGGGTCAGGTGGGTACAGCTACTACACCACAGGTCAATGGGACTGGACATAAGCAGGGAGTGGGAGTGTTTAACAGAAACACACCAATGATTCAGCCCGAATCGATGAGAGACAACACTATGCAATTGGTTTCACCCCGTTTCTGGCCCTCAGAGATAAATACAGGCACCCATCTTGACACAGGAAATGCAGGTGATGCCAACAAATCTAGTTGGTGTTCGTTGGCAAGCCTCCATAGACACTCTGAAATACCAGGAAGAGGAGCTGAACAACCAGCTCATGCCTCACTTCCTGTCTGCCATTTTAGACCAAGCGCCACAACTTCCTCTCACTCTAGTAATCTCGCCACACACGTTAGACCAGGCACCGTAGAACGACCGTACGGTTGCCCGAGCTGCCATAAGGAGTTTGTCCACGAGAGTGACTTGCGGCGGCATGCAGTCATCCACACCAGAAAGCGGGGGTTCGCCTGCACCTTGTGTGAGAAGAGCTTTGTGTGCGCCAGCCATCTCCAAATGCACCTGAACGTCCACACCGGGGAGAAGCCCTTCAGTTGTGCACAGTGCGGGCGCAGGTTCTCCCACTCCAGCAATCTGAAAAGACATCAGAAGCTTCATCATTGAGAACTGACAAAGGCTGTGATGGTCAGGGAGTTTTGGATGACGGTAATTGATCAGCCCAATAACCGCGGTCACCATTATAACCGTTTGAATAGCAAAGGACGCACATTTTCTCCTCTGCTCCTGACTTGTTTCAGCAAGGAGCAACAAGGTTTCATCACGTTGGAGAGTCCATGTTACAGCAGAAACCATAGAGATCCTATTACATTACTAGAGGGGCTATGTCATGAACCCTCAAAGTTCTAGAATGGAGTGAATATGGCAGCCATTGTGGTCAGGGAGCAATCCAAACCAGTCTAATTGGAATGAATGGTAGTAAAGGCAGAGGTGATGCATAGATGCGGTAAAGAGGTCAATGGAACGCAGACCGTGGGGAATAGAAGAAGGACGCCAGATTGGCGCACGTTCAACAAATCTGATCTAACAAAGTCGTCATGATTTATGTATTGTAAAAGGTCCACAATGTGGTTACTAAAGTCCGATTTTGATATATTTGGCTGTTTTTGCTGCAGAACATTTAGAAGTAGTCCCTTTTCAGGTTTAGAAGAAGTGACTGCTAAATGCTAACTCCTGTTCGTATAAGCTGTTAGCATCGCTAGCATAGAGAAATCATTGGTGGTTGTCAAAGTCGTTTTCAACTGTAATGCAGTTGATTGATGAAGATAACATGAACATACAGTACCAGTCAAAAGTTTAGACACACCTACTCATTCAAGGGTTTTTCTTTATTTTTACAATTTTTTACATTGTAGAATAATAGTGAATACTTCAAAACTATGAAATGACACATATGGAATCATGGAGTAACCAAAAAAGTGTTAAACAAATCAAAATATAATTTATATTTGAGATTCTTCAAAGTAGCCACCCTTTGCCTTGATGACAGCTTTGCACACTATTGGCATTCTCTCAACCAGCTTCATGAGTTAGTCACCTGGAATGCATTTAAATTAACAGGTGTGCCTTGTTAAAAGTTAATTTGTGGAATTTCTTTCCTTAATGCATTTGAGCCCATCAGTTGTGTTGTGACAAAGTAGGGGGGTATACAGAAGATAGCCCTATTTGGTAAAATACCAAGTCCATATTATGGCAAGAACAGCTCAAATAAGCAAAGAGAAACAACAGTCCATCATTACTTTAAGACATGAAGGTCAGTCAATACGGAACATTAAGAACTTTTAAAGTTTCTTCAAGCCCAGTTGCAAAAACCATCAAGCGCTATGATGAAACTGGCTCTCATGAGGACCGCCACAGGAAAGGAAGACCCAAAGTTCATTAGAGTTACCAGCCTCAGAAATTGCAGCCCTAATAAATGCTTCACAGAGTTCAAGTAACAGACACATCTCAACATCAACTGTTCAGAGGAGACTGCGTGAATCAGGCCTTCATGGTCGAATTGCTGCAAAGAAACCACTATTAAAGGACACCAATAAGAAGAAGAGACTTGCTTGGGCCAAGAAACATGAGCAATGGACATTAGACCAGTGGAAATCTGTCCTTTGGTCTGATGAGTCTTTGATGAGGTTTTTGTTTCCAACCGCTGTGTCTTTTTGAGACGCAGAGTAGGTGAACGGATGATCTCCGCATGTGTGGTTCCCACTGTGAAGCATGGAGGAGGTGGTGTGGGGGGTGCTTTGCTGGTGACACTGTCTGTGTTTTATTTAGAATTCATGGCACATTTAACCAGCATGGCTACCACAACATTCTGCAGCAATACGCCATCCCATCTGGTTTGCGCTTAGTGGGACTATCATTTGTTTTTCAACAGGACAATGACCCAACACACCTCTAGGCTGTGTAAGGGTTATTTGACCAAGAAGTAGAGTGATGGAGTGCTGCATCAGATAACCTGGCCTCCACAATCACCCGACCTCAACCCAATTGAGATGGTTTGGGATGAGTTGGACCGCAGATTGAAGCAAAAGCAGCCAACAAGTGCTCAGCATACGTGGGAACTCCTTCAAGACTGTTGGAAAAGCATTCCAGGTGAAGCTGGTTGAGAGAATGCCATGAGTGTGCAAAGCTGTCATCAAGGCAAAGGGTGGCTATTTGAAGAATCTCAAATATAAAATATATTTTGATTTGTTTAACACTTTTTTGGTTACTACATGATTCCATATGTGTTATTTCATAGTTTTGATGTCTTCACTATTATTCTACAATGTAAAAGATAGTAAAAATACAGAAAAACCCTTGAATGAGTAGGTGTGTCCAAATGTTTGACTGGTACTGTATATTGGGGTTGACATCCATACGTGCATTATACTCTGATGTTTACCTCAACATAGTGTGGAATACATACATAAACAATAGGCTAAATGTGGGATAATTTAGCTGGGGGGCAATGATGAGATTCGGAATCTTTCCCCCAATGCATTTTCCGCCCACGCGTTTCCATGGCATTCCCATTGTTTTGGTCGAGTTCCATTGACCTCTTTACTGCATGTACTGTATTTCCTGCTTGTATTTATGCAGAACAATTAAAGTATGGCATGTGATGTATCAGGATTTGTGTAATATAATTATTGTTAACCTAAAATATAGTCATATAATTATAAATACAGTTTATACAGGTTTTATACACATTTTCTGTATAAATAGCCTTTAAAATATATCTAAACAGACCATAAATGTCTCAATGTTTGTTTAATTGGAAAGCTGTGAGTGTTCAAATATTATACAATATCAGTGCTTGTTGCATTTACAACTTGTATAAGTCCTATCATCAACTGATTTCAGCCAGTGAATGGCTGTGGATTGACTGCAGAAACGGACTCCACCACACGAATGCCTGACCGTCCCGTTTTCAGTCAGCTGTACGTCCCCCCCCCCCCCAAAAAAAAACGACATGTTGTCATTTTTTTTTAATGCGATGATGGTTAATTTCAATTTCATGACGGTCTTCATCCATAACCATCGGTTACACGGTTATACAGTCATTGTGCCAGCCCTAGACACAGAAAGACACAAAAGCAAGAGATTCCTATTGAAAACAATCTATGGATAAGCTTAATGTCAGTTAGGTTATAGCAATACGCTATTTTTATTGTTATTATTATTATTATTATTTTTATATATATATTAGTATATATATACACTACCGTTCAAAAGTTTGGGGTCACTTAGAAATGTCCTTATTTTCGTAAGAAAAGCAATTTTTTTGTCCATTAAAATAACATCAAATTGATCAGAAATACAGTGTAGACATTGTTAATGTTGTAAATGGCTATTTTTGCTGGAAACGGCTGATTTTTTATGGAATATCTACATAGGCGTACAGAGGCCCATTATCAGCAACCATCAGTCCAATGGCACGTTGGGTTTGCTAATCCAATTTTAAAGGGCTTATTGATCATTAGAAAACCCTTTTGCAATTATGTTAGCACAGCTGAAAACTGTTGTGCTGATTAAAGAAGCAATAAAACTGGCCTTCTTGAGACTAGTTGAGTATCTGGAGCATCAGCAATTGTGGGCTCGATTACAGGCTCAAAATGGCCAGAAACAAATAATTTTCTTCTGAAACTCGTCAGTCTATTCTTGTTCTGAGAAATGAAGGCTATTCCATGCGAGAAATTGCCAATAAACTGAAGATCTCGTACAACGCTGTGTACTACTCCCTTCACAGAACAGCGCCAACTGGCTCTAACCAGATCAAGCTTTAACCTGCGATAGCAGACAGCCGCATAGCAGGTGTTTTGGCTGTGTTCGAGGTGGAACTAAGTTGGAGCCATCAAATCGGTGAGCAGCTGGTCTTGCTATCATTGTCACAAAGCCACACCCGCCCCACTCGCGTTCAGAACATGAAAGTGTAGGCTATTTAGAAATAATTACGCTCAAATTGAAAAATCATTAAACAAAATAATGAGGATTTCTATCATCCTAATAGAGGTGTAGATTACATCTCACATTCCAGTGTTCCAATTTAACAAGGCTGCATGGGATTTCTCTTAATGCGACTCCGTTCAGCCAATGGCGATGTCCGCTTTAGGTATAATGCCAGGAGCCGGTTGTGGATTTGACAGCTCTAACGCAGTTTCACCTCCAACACGCCAAAATAACCGCTATGTGGATGTCGGCTAAAGCGGATCTGATTGAATAGACTCCAAAATCTACACCCGTTGTATTCATCGCATGTGACTCGAAAGTCCTGCCTACTTCCTGGATCATGTCACTTGCTGTTTTTGAATGGGATTCAAGAGTATGTAATCAAATTAATGAAAACACAGTCTTTTAATATACACTACATAACCAAAAGTATCTTGTCGAGCATCTCATTCCAAAGTCATGGGCATTAATATGGAGTTGGTCCCCCCTTTGCTGCTATAACAGCCTCCACTCTTCTGGGAAGGCTTTCCACTAGATGTTGGAACATTGCTGCGGGGACTTGCTTCCATTCAGCCACAAGAGCATTAGTGAGGTCGGGCACTGATTTTGGGCGATTAGGCCTGGCTCGCAGTCGGCGTTCCAATTCATCCCAAAGGTGTTCGATGGGGTTGAGGTCAGGGCTCTGTGCAGGCCATACATTTCACTAAATCAAATGTCATGTCCATATCTCCATTCAGTAGATAGTGTATGCTCTGTCTCACTCACTCATCTCTCCCACTTAACCCCATCAGCAGTCAGGAGAACCAGACCTGCTGATCATCAAGGTGGAGGGAGAAGCAGATGACCAGGACTCTAGGTCCAGCCACCCAGCCAGAACAGTGGAGGGCAGCAGAGAGCTAACCACCCAACCGGCTGCAGCCACCACAGAGGACCCCGCCTTCCAGCCCAGAGGCCCCAAAGGCAACAACTATAACAACTACATCAACACCGCTATGGAGGTCAGTGGATCTGACGCCGTCCTCCTCCAATCAGAAACAGGGAATGTGAACCAGGGAGCCCAGCAGCGCACAGGATTTGAACCCAGAGCAGAGAGACAGAGTCTGGACATAAAGTGGGACATGAATGGGGGCTTCAATCTTCTAAGAGATTCTTTAAACCAGGTGTTGAGAGAGGTAGTAGTGACTGATGATGGTGCCTCTGCTGCTCATACTAAAGTAATGGACCTAGGGAGTGGCCAAGTGGGCCCAGAAACACAGACTAGCTCTGCCATAGAAATGAGAAGTGTAGGGTTAGAAAACCACAGGTTCCATTCCTCATCAGAACATGTGATAGTGATTGACTCTGTATCCAGTGGGCAGCAGGTAGATAGAGATTTTGAGTGGGGTCAGGTGGGAACAGCTACTACACCACAGGTCAATGGGACTGGAAATAGGCAGGGAGTGGGAGTGTTTGAGGGGAACGCACCATCGATTCACCCCGTACACCCCGATTCGATGAGAGCCACGACGCAATTGGTTTCACCCAGCCTCCGGCACACAGAGAAAAATACAGGCACGCATTTTGGCACAGGAAATGCAGGTGAGGCCAACAACTTTAGTTGGCACTCATTGGCAAGCCTCCATACACACACTGAAATACCAGGAAGAGGAACTCAACAACCAGCTCATTCCTCACTTCCTGTCGGCCATTTTAGACCAAGTGCCACAGCTTCCTCTCACTTGAGTATTCTCGCAACAGACGTTAGACTTGGCACCGTAGAACAACCGTACGGTTGCCCAAGCTGCCATAAGACATTTGTCCACGAGAGCGACTTGCGGCAGCACATGGTCATCCACACCAGAAAGCGGGGATACGCCTGCACCTTGTGTGAGAAGAGCTTTGTGTCCCCCAGCAAGCTCCAAGTGCACCAGAATGTACACACCGGGGAGAAGCCCTTCAGTTGTGCACAGTGCGGGCGCAGGTTCTCCCATTCCGGCAATCTGAAAAGACATCAGAAGCTTCATCATTGACAACTGATACAGAAGCAAGAGATTCCTATGAAAAAAAGCTGTTATAGCAATATCATCAGTTCAAACGTAATTTGTTCTAATGTAGTCATATGTCTGCAGGATGTTTGCCCTGGTCTCATACATCTACAATACAACGTGGTTCATATTTACATTTTCTACAAAGACTTACATTTTTTTTGGCTCCTTCAAGGCCAACAGCATCACTCACATTGACTGTTAAGGTTGATAATGGTTGTGTTCTTCTAATAATACTGCGTGCAGGACTTATTTTGGCATGACATATCAGGGGACTTATTAACAGATACTGACATTGTACTGTGAGAGTGAAAAACTGTCTGTTCTTTTGTACCAATTTGACCAATGGCTATTGCTGTTTGTTTATTCATTCCTATAATTCCATCAATAAATAATATTTTTCTAATAATTCCATTGTGCTTCTTGACCTTATAGAGATTGACCCTAAATATACAGGTAACTGCCAAAATAAAGGAAACACTTGAGTAAATGAGGGATACAAAGTATATTGAAAGCAGGTGCTACCGCAACGGTGTGGTTCCTGAGTTAATTAAGTATAATAATGCTGGGCAGGCCATTATTTTGGCTACCATTGCTCTGCCCTCATAGGATGATAATGCTCCCATCCACAGGGCACAAGTGGTCACTGAATGGTTTGATGAGCATGAAAACGATGCAAGCCATATGCCATGGCCGTCTCAGTCACCAGATCTCCACCCAATTGAACACTTATGGGAGATTCTGGGGCGTTACCTGAGAGAGCGTTTTCCACCACCAAAACACCAAATGATGTAATATATCGTGGAAGAATAGTGTTGAATCCCTCCAATAGAGTTCCAGACACTTGTAGAATCTATACCAAGGTGCATTGAAGCTGTTCTGGCTCGTGGTAGCCCAACGCCCTATTAAGACACTTTATGCTGGTGTTTCCTTTATTTTCTCAGTTACCTGTGTATTGGCCCTAAATATCCAGTACCAGTCAACCCTTTGCCCTGACGACAGCTTTGCACACTCTTGGCATTCTCTCAACCAGCTTCACCTGGAATGCTTTTCCAACAGTCTTGAAGGAGTTCCCACGTATGCTGAGCACTTGTTGGCTGCTTTTCCTTCAATCTGCGGTCCAACTCATCCCAAACCATCTCAATTGGGTTGAGGTTGGGTGATTGTGGAGGCCAGGTCATCTGATGCAGCACTCCATCTCTCTCTTTCTTGGTCAAATAGCCCTTACACAGCCTAGAGGTGTGTTGGGTCATTGTCCTGTTGAAAAACAAATGATAGTCCCACTAAGCGCAAACCAGATGGGTTGGCGTATCGCTGCAGAATGTTGTAGTAGCCATGCTGGTTAAGTGTGCCATGAATTCTAAATAAATCACAGACAGTGTCACCAGCAAAGCACCCCCACACCATAACACCTCCTCCTCCATGCTTTACGGTGGGAAATACACATGCGGAGATCATCCGTTCACCTACTCTGCGTCTCACAAAGACACGGCAGTTGGAACCAAAAATCTCACATTTGGACTCATCAGACCAAAGGACAGATTTCCACCGGTCTAATGTCCATTGCTCGTGTTTCTTGGCCCAAGCAAGTCTCTTCTTATTATTGGTGTCCTTTAGTAGTTGTTTCTTTGCAGCAATTCGACCATGAAGGCCTGATTCACACAGTCTCCTCTGAACAGTTGATGTTGAGATGTGTCTGTTACTTGAACTCTGTGAAGCGTTTATTAGGGCTGCAATTTCTGAGGCTGGTAACTCTAATTAACTTATCCTCTGCAGCAGAGGTAACTCTGGGTCTTCCTTGCCTGTGGCGGTCCTCATGAGAGCCAGTTTCATCATAGCGCTTGATGGTTTTTGCAACTGGGCTTGAAGAAAAGTTTTTGAAATATTCCGTATTGACTGACCTTCATGTCTAAAAGTAATGATGGACTGTCGTTTCTCTTTGCTTATTTGAGCTGTTCTTGCCATAATATGGACTTGGTATTTTACCAAATAGGGCTATCTTCTGTATACCCCCCTACCTTGTCACAACACAACTGATTGGCTCAAATGCATTAAGGAAAGAAATTCCACAAATTAACTTTTAACAAGGCATACCTGTTAATTGAAATGCATTCCAGGTGACTACCTCATGCAGCTGGTTGAGAGAATGCCAAGAGTGCAAAGCTGTCATCAAGGCAAAGGGTGGCTACTTTGAAGAATCTCAAATATATTTTGATTTTTTAAACACTTTTTTGGTTACTACATGGTTCCATATGTGTTATGTCATAGTTTTGATGTCTTCACTATTATTCTACAATGTAGAAAATAGTAAAAATAAACAAAAACCCTTGAATGAGTAGGTGTGTCCAAACTTTTGACTGGTACTGTATATATTGCCCCTATATAGATTAACCCTATATAGATTGACCCTAAATACTGTATAAATTGACCCTAAATATATATTTACCCTATCTATATATATTCTCACATTGCTTCCAAATGAAATCATGCAGTTCGAAGGAAAATACATTTTCCTTTAAAAAGTACAGGAAATTAATGCAGTCCAATATTCGTTGTATATGTTTTGAGGACAGAGAAGATTTAGATGTTCTGTGTCCATGAGTTGAGTCAGTAAATTAACAACTTAATTAAATCCATTGGATCAATAATATAGCCTAGCCATAGCTGAGTTATAATAGACATGCATTTGTTTGAAATCTTTGTAGAGCTCATGCCTGTCAACTTAATTCCTCCCTCCTCTTTTCAGGCCAAATCTACTGTCGAACATGGGGACACGGAGGGGCAATAGAGTCTGGACAGACCGAGAAGTGTCCCCCTGACACTCACAACGAAGAGCAAGGGAGAACTGTAGGATCGAGGTTGAAGTTGCCAGATTTCAACGGACTGTCCACCCGAAACAGCTTTTCATCCCCAAGGGTTACTCTCCGCCAGGTTCCCCAAATAAGTAAGCTAGCCACCTTCGCGATTGTCTACAGAGGCTCCACTTCTTCATCGAAGGGCATTAAAAATCAGCCGCAACAGCCAACGTCTTGCTCGGCCAAGAGGCAGCTCCGGTGCAGCCACTGCTCCAAGCGCTTCTCCCACAGCCAACAGCTGAAGATGCACGAGAGGGTGCACACCGGAGAGGAAACCGTTTCAATGTGTCTACTGCGGGAAGTGCTTCACCCAGTCTGGCCACATGAAGAAGCACCTCCTCTTCAACACTCTCCTAGGTACAGATCTAGGATCAGATTCCTCTCTCCCCAATCCTAACCTTAACTATTAGTGGAAAAAAAATCCTAAACGGACCCAAGATCAGCTTCTAGAGGCAACTTCACACTACTCCACCTGGCGCAATGATTCGCAGGGCCAGGAGTTTTTCCTCACGACGTGATCAGACCAGTAAAAAACTCCTGGCCATAGTTGTAAGGGGAATGACTCCACACTTCTGGGGTTTTCATATGAAAACTGGGTCCATGTGTTTTTGACAGTTTGATTGGTTTCCACATTTAACGCTACCCTCTGTGTGTAGTGGTTTAGTTCAACTTGCTTGATGCCTGGTCCAGAGTGGATTGATAATGTGTGAGTTATTACAGGTGATTTTCTTTTTTACATCCTTATGAATTTGTATTGATGCAGTGGCGAACCAAAGTACAGTAATTAAGAATTCAAATTTCCCTTTGCCTCTCAACAATATATGTACAGTTAGACTGATAAGCTGTAAATATGTAAATGGAATTCATATCAATGTATTGTAGGCTAGTCTGTCATACTGTTGAAATTGACTTTTTTTTGTCAATGACTGTTTTTGTCGTTTATTTCTATTAGAAACACCACAAATAGTGAAATGCTTTATTATTATTTGTTTGATTTTTTTAACATGAAATATTGTTTACACCAAATAACATGCTTATTATAGCTACAACATCGCTGTGGTCGAGCACTCCTCCGGTACAGTAGGTGGCGCATATGATTACATCAAAGTGATGATGAGGAACAGGAAAAATAACCTCACCAGCAGCTAGCTACAAACAAAGCTAGCTAGCTATCGATGTTTAGTTTCTGATATGATTGTATTTGTTTTAATAGCTTGCTAGATAACTGTATAGCATCATAATATAGAAAACATAAAGACTGTTTTCATATTCAAACGGGGCCAAAAGCGTCGGGGGACAATGTCGGGTTCCGTGGTAGACTTCCAGGCGCAGATAGCCTCAATCATGGAGGTGCTAGCCAACGCGGCTGTAACCGAAATCTGCAAAGTTGTTGACGATGGCTATGCGGTTGTACACATGGAGATGTCCCAAAGTCACAAGGAGAACGAATTTCTCCGGAGGAAAATGAAGTTGATGGAACTTCAGATCGCCAGGTTTCGGGCTGAGAGAACAAAGTTTTCAGAGGGGTCCGTCCACAACCGCTTCCATGGAATACGCCTGCTGAACAGACACAACAATCGAGAGACTGCAACGACAGGTTGGTGATGATGGTGAATTTGACAATGCACATAGACTAAATTACATGAATCTTCAATTTGACCCCATTCATCAATTGTGTTTTACAAAGTTCAAAGCAAGCATAATACAGCCATGATTTATGTAATGTCAATACAGTTAGGGCCTAGAGGTTTATTGACATTCTATATAGGATGTATCATGCTTACTTTGTACTGTCAACACCGCTAGGATCCTTCTAGCTCTATTGACACAACATACGACATGAAAGGTGTTGTGCTTGCTTTGTACTTTGTAAAACACTCGATGGATCGGGTCAAATGAACCTCCCCCTTTATTTCCAGGACCTACTTGGCAAAGCAGAGCCAGACTTTCCAACAGGAGTTTTGGGAACAGCAGCATTCAAAGAGACAGACAGCCCATAGACGTGGACCAAGAGGATGTCTCTCCATCAAAGCATATGGATGCTACAAGTGATGAGGTAAGTCCCAATTTTAACAGCCGATTTCAGACTGTCACAGACTTATGTCTGTTTTAGTCTAAGACACCAGACACTTCCGCCTGGGGATGAGGTTATGTCTGTATAGACGTGTATGCCAGCACATTATAACCAGTGATGTGCGCGTGAGTAAAGTAACACTCCCAATGCCTTCAATGCATTTTTGCGCCAAAGGTTTGTAAATGCTTGCGCAAAATACAAATGGTGGAGTTTACCTCCACAACCCCACTGATTACAACACAATAACAACAAGGCAACTACTATGAAATTCACTAAATCCCATGTCATGCCAATATCTCCATTCAGTAGATAGTGTATGCTCTGTCTTTCACTCACTCACTCACTCATCTCTCCCACTTAACCCCATCAGCAGTCAGCAGAGACAGAGGATGGGGAACCAGACCTGCTGATCATCAAGGATGATGGGGAAGCAGATGACCAGGACTCTAGGACCAGCCACCCAGCCAGAACAGTGGAGGGCAGCAGAGAGCCAACCACCCAACCGGATGCAGCCACCACCGTGGACACCGCCCTCCAGCCCAGTGGCCCCAGAGGCAACAACAACACTACAACGACACCGCTATGGAGGTCAGTGGATCTGACCTCATCCTCCTCCAATCAGAAACAGGGAATGTGAACCAGGGACTCAGCAGCACACAGGATTTGAACCCAGAGCAGAGAGACAGAGTCTGGACACAAAGTGTGACATGAAGGGGGCCTCAATCTCCTTAAGGCGTCAGCTTGCTTCAGTTCAGCTGGTGCTCGCATACTCCCTTAAAAGACCTTCGCTTGAAAAACGAGAAAATAGTACTGTTTGTCCATTTTGAAACGCCGTAGCCGGCCTACACTTCTTCAAAATAGTCCGAATTAATCTAAGATCAAATTTAATGACACATTTTTGAGTTATGTTTTTGCCAGAGACCTTACTCCCGCAATTTTACATCTAACTAAGATGTTTTGTGCAGTAGTTTTTCAATGAAGAAATTTGCATGAAAACGAGTCATCTCTCGTTAAATGACAACAAATACTTTATTGAAGAAACCCTACTGTGGACCAATCACTGACGAAGTGGCATAGACTTCGTCTCCGAACTTCGGCATTTCTCCAGAAAACGTTTTGTGTGCCCGAACAGCCGAATAAACCTTCACCGAAGTCCAAAACAAACAAAAACGTCATAATATACAGTGAGGGAAAAAAGTATTTGATCCCCTGCTGATTTTGTACGTTTGGCCACTGACAAAGACATGATCAGTCTATAATTGTAATGGTAGGTTTATTTGAACAGTGAGAGACAGAATAACAACAAAAACATCCAGAAAAACGCATGTCAAAAATGTTATAAATTGATTTGCATTTTAATGAGGGAAATAAGTATTTGACCCCTCTGCAAAACATGACTTAGTACTTGGTGGCAAAACCCTTGTTGGCAATCACAGAGGTCAGACGTTTCTTGTAGTTGGCCACCAGGTTTGCACACATCTCAGGAGGGATTTTGTCCCACTCCTCTTTGCAGATCTTCTCCAAGTCATTAAGGTTTCGAGCCTGACGTTTGGCAACTTGAACCTTCAGCTCCCTCCACAGATTTTCTATGGGATTAAGGTCTGGAGACTGGCTAGGCCACTCCAGGACCTTAATGTGCTTCTTCTTGAGCCACTCCTTTGTTGCCTTGGCCGTGTGTTTTGGGTCATTGTCATGCTGGAATACCCATCCACGACCCATTTTCAATGCCCTGGCTGAGGGAAGGAGGTTCTCACCCAAGATTTGACGGTACATGGCCCCATCCATTGTCCCTTTGATGCGGTGAAGTTGTCCTGTCCCCTTAGCAGAAAAACACCCCCAAAGCATAATGTTTCCACCTCCATGTTTGATGGTGTTCTTGGGGTCATAGGCAGCATTCCTCCTCCTCCTCCAAACAAGGCGAGTTGAGTTGATGCCAAAGAGCTCCATTTTGGTCTCATCTGACCACAACACTTTCATCCAGGATTTCAGTCCTTCACGGCGTAGTGTGTTACCAATTGTTTTCTTGGTGACTATGGTCCCAGCTGCCTTGAGATCATTGACAAGATCCTCCTGTGTAGTTCTGGGCTGATTCCTCACCGTTCTCATGATCATTGCAACTCCACGAGGTGAGAACTTACATGGAGCCCCAGGCCAAGGGAGATTGACAGTTATTTTGTGTTTCTTCCATTTGCGAATAATCACACCAACTGTTGTCACCTTCTCACCAAGCTGCTTGGCGATGGTCTTGTAGCCCATTCCAGCCTTGTGTAGGTCTACAATCTTGTCCCTGACATCCTTAGAGAGCTGTTTGGTCTTGGCCATGGTGGAGAGTTTGGAATCTGATTGATTGATTGCTTCTGTGGACAGGTGTCTTTTATACAGGTAGATTAGGAGTACTCCCTTTAAGTGTGCTCCTAATCTCAGCTCATAACCTGTATAAAAGACACCTGGGAGCCAGAAATCTTTCTGATTGAGAGGGGGTCAAATACTTATTTCCCTCATTAAAATGCAAATAAATTTATAACATTTTTGACATGCGTTTTTCTGGATTTTTTTGTTGTTATTCTGTCTCTCACTGTTCAAATAAACCTACCATTATAATTATAGACTGATCATTTCTTTGTCAGTGGGAAAACGTACAAAATCAGCAGGGGATCAAATACTTTTTTCCCTCACTGTATGCACAAGCTCTACCGGACTGTTTCTGCTGGGAAGCATGCAGACGCCTTAAGAGCTTCTTTAAATACAGGCACCCATCTTGACACAGGAAATGTAGGTGAGGCCAACAAAGCTAGTTGGTGCTCATTGGCAAGCCTCCATAGACACTCTGAAATACCAGGAAGAGGAGCTCAACAATCAGCTCATACCTCACTTCCTGTCGGCCATTTTAGACCAAGCTCCTCAACTTCCTCTCACTCTAGTAATCTTGCCACAGACGTTAGACCTGGCAACGTAGAACGACCGTACGGTTGCCCGAGCTGCAATAAGAAGTTTGTCCAAGAGAATTACTTGTGGCGGCACGCTGTCATCCACACCAGAAAGCGGCCGTTGTCTTGCACCTTGTGCGCCAGCAAGCTCCAAATGCACCAAAACATCCACACCTGGGGAGAAGCCCTTCAGTTGTGCACAGTGCGGGTGCAGGTTCTCCCACTCCAGCAATCTGAAAAGACATCAGAAACGTTATCATTGAGAACTGACACAGATAGGGCCGTGACGATCAAGGAATGTTGGATGACGATAATTGGTCACCGTTTATAACCGTTTGAATTGCAAAAAACACACATTTTCTCCTCTGCTCCTGATTTGTTTCAGCAAGGAGCAATGGAGAGTCCATGTTACAGCAGAAACCATAGAGATCCCATGAAATTACTAGAGGGGCTATGTCATGAACCCTCAAAGTTCTAGAATGGTTGTTACTAGGTTCTACAGCCACAAAAATGGTTGTATCGTAAAGATTCATGAAAACCTTCAATTAAAACAAAAAATGTCTGTATAAATAGCCTCTAAAATATATCCAAACAGACCATAAATGTCTCAATGTTTGTTTTCTTGGAAACCTGTTAATGTTATAATATGACACAATATCAGTACTTGTTGCATTTACAACTTGTATAAGTCCTATCATCAACTGATTTCAGCCAGTGTATGGCTGTGGATTGACTGCATTGTTTGTATGGAATGTTGGCATATTGGCAGTTAATTTGAACAATTATTGGAAATCATTCAACTTAAACTGGCTGGCTAGCTAGCTACTGTGCAGATAATCTTCAAATTCATTGTTTTACACAACATCTTATCGCAGCACACTGGCTGACCATGGTTGACCAACTCCCTGACCAAAATGGCTGACATTTTATACTGTCATAAGACCTCTCATGTCCATTCGTGTATTCTAATTCCAAATTCTATGGCAGAAACTGACTAAACCAGACAAATGCCCGGCCGTCCTGTTTTCAGTCAGCTATTAGTTCCACACAAAAAAAAGAACATTATTATATACAGTACCAGTCAAATGTTTGGACACACCTACTCATTCAAGGGTTTTTCTTTATTTTCATTATTTTCTACATTGTAGAATAATAGTGAAGACATCAACACTATAAAATAACACATATGGAATCATGTAATAACCCAAAAGAGTAAAATACCAAGTCCATATTATGGCAAGAACAGCTCAAATAAACAAAGAGAAATGACAGTCCATCATTATTTTAAGACGTGAAAATCAGTCAATACGGAACATTTCAAGAACTTTGACAGTTTCTTCAAGCGCAGTCGCAAAAACCATCAAGCGCTATGATGAAACTGTCTCTCATGAGGACCGCCACAGGAATGGAAGACCCAGAGTTACCTCTGCTGCAGAGGATAAGTTAGAGTTACCAGCCTCAGAAATTACAGCCCAAATAAATGCTTCAGAGTTCAAGTCACAGACACATCTCAAAATCAACTGTTCAGAGGGGACTGTGGATCAGGCCTTCATGGTCGAATTGCTGCAAAGAAACCACTACTAAAGTACACCAATAAGAAGAAGAGACCTGCTTGGGCCAAGAAACACGAGCAATGGAAATTAGACTGGTGGAAATGTGTCCTTTGGTCTGTAGTCCAAATTGGAGATTTTTGGTTCCAACCGCTGTGTCTTTGTGAGATGCGGTGTGGGTGAACGGATGATCTCCGCATGTGTAGTTTCCACCGTAAAGCATGGAGGAGGAGGTGTTATGGTGTGGGGGTGCTTTGCTGGTGACACTGTCTGTGATTTATTTAGAATTCAAGGCACACTTAACCAGCATGGCTACCACAGCATTCTGCAGCGATACACCATCCCAATCTGGTTTGGGCTTAGTGGGACTATCATTTGTTTTTCAATAGGACAATGACCCAACACACCTCCAGGCTGTGTAAGGGCTATTTTACCAAGAAGGAGAGTGATGGAGTGCTGCATCAGATGACCTGGCCTCCACAATCCCCCGACCTCAACCCAATTGAGATGGTTTGGGATGAGTTGGATGGCAGAGTGAAGGAAAAGCAGCCAACAAGTGCTCAGCATATGTGGGAACTCCTTCAAGATTGTTGGAAAAGCATTCCAGGTGAAGCTGGTTGAGAGAATGCGAAGAGTGCAAAGCTATCATCAAGGCAAAGGGTGGCTATTTGAAGAATCTCAAATATAAAATATATTTTGATTTGTTTAACACTTATTTGGTTACTACATGATTCCATATGTGTTATTTCGTAGTTTTGATGTCTTCACTATTATTCTACAATGTAGAAAATAGTAAAAATAAAGAAAAACCCTTGAATGAGTAGGTGTGTCCAAACTTTTGACTTGTACTTTGTATATATATATATATATATATATATAAAAGCGGTTATGACGGTTAATTTAACTTTCATGACGGTCTTCATCCATAACCATCGGATAAATGGTTATACGGTAATTGTGCAAGCCCGAGACACAGAAGCAAAAGATTCCTATGGAGAAAAAAAAGCTATGGATTAGCTTTATGTCAGTTAGGTTAATGCAATACGCTATGAATAGCACTACGCTATTTTTATTATTATACAGTATATCATTAAAAAATATATAGATATATTAACTCTGCATCGTTGGAAGGGCTCATAAGTAAGCATTTCACGGTAAAGTCTTCACCCGTTGTATTCGGCGCATATGACAAATAAGACTTCATTTGAAAGTCCTGCCTACTTCCTGGATCACGTCCCTCACTGTTTTTGAATGGGATTCAAGAGTAAATATACCAATTCATGAAAACACTGTCTTTTAAGATACAGTGCATTCGTAAAGTATTCAGACCCCTGACTTTTTCCATATTTTGTTACATTACAGCCTTATTCTAAAATTGATGAGGAAAAATGTAATTTAATCCATCTACACACAATACCACATAATGACAAAGTTTTTTTTTTGGGTGCAAATGTATAAAATTTTAACTGAAATATCATATTTACATAAGTATTCCGACCTTTACTCAGTACTTTGTTGAAGCACGTTTGGCAGCGATTACAGTCTTGCGTCTTCTTGGGTATGACACTACAAGCTTGGCACACCTGTTTTGGGGGAGTTTCTCCCATTCTTCTCTGCAGATCCTCACAAGCTCTGTCAGGTTGGATGGGGAGCGTTGCTGCACAGCTATTTTCAGGTCTCTCCAGAGATGTTCGATCAGGTTCAAGTCTGGGCTCTGGCTGGGCCACTCAAGGACATTCAGAGACTTGTTCCGAAGCCACTCCTGCATTGTCTTGGCTGTGTGCTTAGGGTAGTTGTCCTGTTGGAAGGTGAACCTTTGCCCCAGTCTGAGGTCCTGAGCACTCTGGAGCAGGTTTTCATCAAGGATCTCTCTGTACTTTGCTTCGTTCATCTTTCCCTTGATCCTGACTAGTCTCCCAGTCCCTGCCTCTGAAAAACATCCCCACAGCATGATGCTGCCACCGCCATGCTTCACCGTAGGGATGCTGCCAGGTTTCCTCCAGATGTGACGCTTGGCATTCAGGCCAAAGAGTTCAATCTTGGTTTCATCTGACCAGAGAATCTTGTTTCTCATGGTCTGAGAGTCCTTTAGGTGCCTTTTTGCAAACTCCAAGCGGGCTGTCATGTGCCTTTTACTGAGGAGTGGCTTCCATCTGGCCACTTTCCCATAAAAGCCTGATTGGTGGAGTGCTACAGAGATGGTTGTCCTTCTGGAAGGATCTCCCATCTCCACATAGGAACTCTGGAGCTCTGTCAGTGACCATCAGGTTCTTGGTCACCTCCCTGAGCAAGGCCCTTCTCCCCCGATTGCTCAGTTTGGCCGGGCAGCCAGCTCTAGGAAGAGTCTTGGTGGTTCTAAACTTCTTCCGTTTAAGAATGATGGAGGCCACTGTGTTCTTGGGGACCTTCAATGCTGCAGAAATGTTTTGGGAACCTTCCCCAGATCTGTGCCTCGACACAATCCTGTCTCGGAGCTCTACGGACAATTCCTTCAACCTCATGGCTTGGTATTTTCTCTGACATGTACTGTCAACTGTGGGACCTTTATATAGACAGGTGTGTGCCTTTCCAAATCATGTCCAATCAATTCAATTTACCACAGGTGGACTCCAATCAAGTTGTAGAAACATCTCAAGGATGATCAATGGAAACAGGATGCATCCGAGCTCAATTTCCAGTCTCATAGCAAAGGGTCTGAATACTTATGTAAATCATGTATTTCAGCTTTTTATTTGTAATACATTAGTAAACATTTCTAAAAACCTGTTTTCGCTTTGTCATTATGGGGTATTGTGTGTAGATTGATGACGAAAAATGTAATTTAATCAATTTGAGAATAAGGCTGTAATGTATCAAAATGTGGAAAAAGTAAAGGGGTCTGAATACTTTCCGAATGCACTTTATCTCAAATTATAAACTGGGTGGTTCGAGCCCTGAATGCTGATTGGCTGATAGCCTTGGTATATCAGACTGTATACCACGGGTATTACAAAACATATTTTTACTTCTCTAATTACGTTGGTAACTTATAATAGCAATAAGGCACCTTGCTGGTTTGTGATATATGGCCAATATACCACGGCTAAGGGCTGTGTCCAGGCACTCCACGGTGCGTCGTGCTTAAGAACAGCCCTTAGCCGTGGTATATACAAACCCCCTCGGGCCTTATTGCTTCATTATATTAGTGTATTCATTTACTTCTATCCAATGTCTCTATGAAGGTTTTTGCGCAAAATACAAAAGGTGTTTACCCTCCACTACACCACTGATTATAACACAATAACAACTACTATGAATTTTACTAAATCCCATGTCATGCCCATATCTCCATTCAGTAGATAGTGTATGCTCTGTCTCACTCACTCATCTCTCCCACTTAACCCCATCAGCAGTCAGGAGAGACAGTGGGAGGGGAACCAGACCTGCTGATCATCAAGGTGGAGGGAGAAGCAGATGACCAGGACTCTAGGACCAGCCACCCAGCCAGAACAGTGGAGGGCAGCAGAGAGCTAACCACCCAACCGGCTGCAGCCACCACAGAGGACCCCACCTTCCAGCCCAGTGGCCCCAGAGGCAACAACTATAACAACAACACCACCACTATGGAGGTCAGTGGCTCTTACGCCGTTGTCCTCCAATCAGAAACAGGGACTGTGAACCAGGGAACCCAGCAGCACACAGGAATTGAACTCCGAGCAGAGAGACAGAGTCTGGACACAAAGTGTGACATGAACAGGGATCTCACTCTCCTAAGAGATTCTTTAAACCAGGTGTGGAGAGAGGTAGTAGTGACTGATGATGGTGCCTCTGCTGCTCATACTAAAGTAATGGACCTAGGGAGTGGCCCAGTGGACTCAGAAATGCAGACTAGCTCTGCCATAGAAATTAGAAGTGTAGGGTTAGAAAACCACAGGTTCCATTCCTCATCAGAACATGTGATAGTGATTGACTCTGTATCCAGTGGGCAGCAGGTAGATAGAGATTTTGAGTGGGGTCAGGTGGGTACAGCTACTACACCACAGGTCAATGGGACTGGAAATAAGCAGGGAGTGGGAGTGTTTAACAGAAACGCACCAATGATTCACCATCGATTCGATGAGAGACAACACAACGCTATTGGTAGCACCCGCTTTCCATCCCACAGAGAAAAATACAGGCACCCGTCCTGACACAGGAAATGCAGGTGAGGCCAACAAAGCTAGTTGGTGCTCGATGGCAAGCCTCCATAGACACTCTGAAATACCAGGAAGAGGAGCTCAACAACCAGCTCATCCCTCACTTCCTGACGGCTATTTTAGACCAAGCGCCACAACTTCCTCTCACTCTAGTAATTTCGCCACACACATTAGACCTGGCACCGTAGAACGACCGTACGGTTGCCCAAGCTGCCATAAGAAGTTTGTCCACGAGAGTGACTTGCGGCGGCATGTGGTCATCCACACCAGAAAGCGGACGTTCTCCTGCACCTTGTGTGAGAAGAGCTTTGTGTCCCCCAGCAAGCTCCAAGTGCACCAGAATGTACACACTGGGGAGAAGCCCTTCAGTTGTGCACAGTGCGGGCGCAGGTTCTCCCACTCCAGCAATCTGAGAAGACATCAGAAGCTTCATCATTGAGAACTGACACAGAATCAAGAGATTCCTATGGAAAAAAACTATGGATTAGCATTATGTCAGTTAGGTTATAGCAATACACTATGAAAGTCCTGCCTACTTCCTGGATCATGTCCCTCGCTGTTTTTGAATGGGATTCAAGAGTAAATAATCAAATTCATGAAAACACTGTCATTGAATATATACAGTTAGGTCCAAAAGTATTTGGACAGTGACACATTTGTTTTGGCTCTGTACTCCGACACTTTGGTGATATTTATGATTTTTATGCCTCTAACTTTCTCACTCATCATTATTCACGATTCATAAATGATTATCTGTAATCATGGTAGCATCCACATTAATGTAGAATTGTTAAGAAACACATTCCATTCTTATTTACAATAAAAGTGGCTCCAAAATGAAACAATACATTATTTACCATTCACAGCTTCTACCCTCAAGCCATTAGACTGCTAAACACTGCTACCCAGACTATTTGCATTGATCCCCCTTCTTTTACACTGCTGCTACTCGCTGTTTATTATCTATGCATAGTCACTTTACCCCTACCTACATGTACATATTACCTCAATACCTCGACTAACCTGAACCCCCGCACATTGACTCGGTACCGGTACCCCCTGTATATAGCCTCGTTATTTTATTGTGTTACTTTTTTTCTACTTTTTATTTATTTATTTATTTTTTGCAAATATTTTCAGTTAAGGGCTTGTAAGTACGCATTTCACGGTAAGGTCTACACCTGTTGTATTCGGCGCATGTGACAAATACAATTTGATTTTATTTCTATTGGGTACAAAATGTTCTGAAACACAACCAAAACAAACTGCAGATGCATCCAACAAGTTTGTAGAGTCACAAGCTTGATGAAGGTTGGAATATCGCACAAATATGATCAATGGCTCATTCGATAGAAGACAACCTACCGCGTTATGACATTGGCAAGTATTGAAATCTGACGCGTATGCTCTTTTTCGTGATCTAAAAGTCGTATTTGTCATACCTTCCAGTGTAGTGAGAGCGATTTTATCGCAATGCAACGTCATACCTGACAAATGACACTTCTTGAACCGCCTATAGCTCCGATACACATGAAAGCACATGACCCCTGGTATCGATGGAACATATTCTTCTTCTTCGATGAGGTTTAACGACGAATGGCATCCAATTTGTTGCATTACCGCCACCTACTAGACTGGAGTACAACTCCCTTATATTTTGCTTGAAAAATTAAATAAAGAAATACCCTACCATCTAACACTACACTCACAAATTAAAAAATATTATTAATAATTAACACCACCCTACTCCACTATTTAAATATATTCATTCCTACCTCATGCCCTCAACCTGAAATGATGGGACATCACCACTTAACACTCCCCGTAACTCTTCTGATGTCAAGTCTCGCACACCCAAATACCTCTCTGCAGCTGCCACCACAACCTCAATTTTCTTTGACTTACGTTCCATCCCTGCAGTACAATTAATAACCATTGCTATAAACGCTAAAAATCCAATCTTATTGAAACATATATCACTTGTTGGCCTATCCCTCTGTACTGGTACATATCTACTACCCCCCCCCCCCCCCCCCCCCCCCCCCCCCCGACCCATCTTCCTCTACTTTCTTCACTGCCTCAGCATATGACAGCTTCTTCACTACTCTTACCTCCCTCTCTCGTACGGGACATTTCTGATCCCCAGCCCCATGGACACCCCGACAATTAGCACATACCACTACTTTCCCCAATGCTACACATTCCTTTGTCTCATGCCCTTCTGCACACTTCTCACACCTTGGAACCTCCCTCCTACACATTGCTGCCACATGCCCATAAGTTTGACACCTGTAACATCTTAATGTATTTGGCACATAAGCTCGTACAGGATAACTTATGTATCCTAACTTCACTTTGTCAGGCAAAGACTCAACTTCAAAACTCAAAAGAACAGACAATGACTCTTCTTTTTCATCACTCTCACCTGTTTGCGTTGCACCAAACACCAGGAATCTTCCCCTTCAGTTGGTCAACTTTTACATTTACTGCTACGCCAGTAATCACTCCTTTCAATGGCGCCCTTTTCTTGAGAGCGAAACAATTCACAATTCTTTCCCCCATTTGTTTAACTCTGAGCGCCTTCTCCCTCTGACCAACAGAAACAAAAACAATTATCACTAGACCACTTCTGGTTACCCTCACCGATTCCACTATACCCAACGCTTTTTTCACCCACCCTGATACCACAAATGGATCAGCCAAAAGGCAAGGGTCCACTCTTTCCAAAAACTTCACTCCTACTGTCAGACTCATCTTTATCCTGACCCTCTGTGCAAGCCTCGGGCTCCGAGTACTTCACCACACCTACCACCTCCGTTTACATCACCCTCATTCACTTCCATTTCTCCTCCTGTCTTCAGCTCACTTTGCTACCATTCTTCTTTACCAAACCTTCTCCCTTTTTCCTGCCATTTTCCCCCGACAAGCTCACAATCTTCCTCCCTCTCTCTCTTAGACCTCCTCTGCCTCTCTTTTTCCCTCCATTCCTCCTCCGTCATCCAAGTATACGTCACCTTATGATAATACTGCACTTTTCCTAACATACATCTGTTTCTTGCTTTCTCAAGGGACGCCATTTACGAGGCTCTCACAAATCCTGACAAACACTTCCTTCCTTCTTCTCCTGTTCATGGCTGCCCTCAATAGAACAACACTCACACAAAAACAATATAACATTAAAAATGGATGAATCTTTCCTGTGAAGCTGACAGTCTGCAATTTAATCTCATAGTCATTGTATCATTTCAAATTCAGTTCTGGAGTACAGAACCAAAACAACAACAAAAAATGGTCACTGTCCAAATACATTTGGACCTCACTATATTTATTTATTTTACTTTATTTATTTAACCTTTATTTAACCAGGTAAGGCAGTTGAGAACAAGTTCTCATTTACAACTGCGACCTGGTCAAGATAAAGCAAAGCAGTGCGATAAAAACAACAACACAGAGTTACATATGGGGTAAACAAAACATAAAGTCAAAAATACAAACAGAAAATATATATACAGAGTGTGCGAATGTAGTAAGTTATGGAGGTAAGGCAATAAATAGGCCATAGTGCAAAATAGTTAAAATTTCGTATTAACACTGGAATGATAGATGTGCAAAAGATGATGTGCAAATAGAGATACTGGGGTGCAAATTAGCTAAATAAATAACAATATGGGGATGAGGTGGGCTAATTTCAGAATGGCTGTGTACATGCAAAGGTGTGTGAATCATGTTGGACATATTGGAATCAGAATAAAATTGATTTACACCAAAAGTCTTTATGGGCATAAGTGTTTTACGCAATTCTGATTTAAAAAAATCGAATTTACTTCATTCATACATTAACCTCCAAATGATATTATTGCAGCCATATGGGATTTGAGGTCAAATCCAGGGTGGCCCCAACAATAATCTGTGGTTTAATTACATGATTAGGGTCAAAAGATACAAAATCCTTCAAGGAACCTTTGACCCAAAATGTTTAATTTCAATGTCTAAACCCACTTGTTTTTCTTAGAGCCGGTTACAATAGCCACAACATTAAAAAAAAGTGTAACTATGTATTTTTTTTCAGGCAGGACCATACAGTACTGAAAGAGAGCAATGACTTGGGAAGTTGTCTATTATTCAGCTACCAAAAAGTAAAGTGTACATTCATCATAAATATTCATAGTTTATATTTCTGCCTATTGTATCTCTGTGTTTACAGGTCTATATTTCCTAGATACATTAAGATATCCTAATGCTGTTTGTTTGTGCATGTGGGGCAGACAGCTGACTACTTGTATTCCAAATGTTAGTAATATCAGAGCTTGAAATATTGGGAATCCCCCTTCCAGCCAGGCATTATTCTTCACTTTTGTTAGTTTAGGGCGTGTCACAATATCTATAAATGTAACCACTTTTTCAGTGAAATATTTTTACACAACCATCCATTTCATAAATTAGAGACATTATAGATGTGAAAAAACATGGTTGTGTTTTGTTATAGCTCGGGTATGGGTGTCTCAAAATTTTTGGGGCCTTGCCACAAGCCTCGTCTTTTTATTACGTAGTTACAACATTGTGGTGGAGCACTCCTGTACAGTAGGTGGCGCAGTTAAACTTTCAATTGTACAGTCCAGCATGAGGAAAAGTAAAGAATATTAACAGCTACAAACAAAGCTAGCGATGGTTCGTTTCTGATAGGGTTGTCTTTAGTTTAATAGCAAGATAGATAACTGTAGATTATAATAATATTCAAAACAGAAAGACGGTTTTCATATTGAAAAGGGGGCAAAAATGTCGGGTTCCGTGGTAGATTTCCAGGCACAGATAGCCTCAATCATGGAGGTGCTAGCCAACGCGGCTGTAGCAGAAATCTGCAAAGTTGTTGACGATGACTATGCGGTTGTACACCTGAAGATGTCCCAAAGCCACAAGGAGAACGAATTTCTCAGGAGGAAAATGAAACTGATGGAACTTCAGATCGCAAGGTTTAGAGCAGAGAAAACAAAGTCTTCAGAGGGGTCCGTCCACAACCGCTTCCATGGAATACGCCTGCTGAACAGACACAACAATCGAGAGACTGCAACGACAGGTTGGTGATGATGAATTTGAAATTATGCACATAGAACAACATTGAATCAGAACATCATTAAAAATAATAATCTTTATTATATTATTATAATCATTATTTTATAAATCCTTAGCCCTTCTCTGAAGGCGTAGAAGGCCCATTGTTCCCAACTGTGTTTGGGTTAGTCATAATTTGTAGAGCGGCTCTATTTCCCCTCATTATGCATTTATTCACTATTCTGAATGTCTAAATAATCCCTATGTTGTTCTGAAATATGAACACAGAAATACTGGACATTTTTAACTCTTATGGTGGTGATTTGACAAAGATCCAATCATGGTCTTGAATTTGACATTTTTTCTGGTCTTGACTCGGTCTCTAAATGATTTGTACACTCAGTGTATGTCATGCTTACTTTGTACTGTCAACACAGCTAGGGTCCTTCTAGCTCTATTGACACATTATACATCATGGCCATATTATGCTTGCTTTGTTCTTTTTTAAACACCATTGATGGATGGGGTCAAATTGAAGATGTAGTAAACATCATAGATTTAACCTCCCCCTTTATTTCCAGGACCTACTTGGCAAAGCAGAGCCAGGCTTTCCAACAGGAGTTTTGGGAACAGTAGCATTCAAAGAGACAGACAGCCCATAGACGTGGACCAAGAGGATGTCTCTCCATCAAAGCATATGGATGCTACAAGTGATGAGGTAAGTCCCAATTTTAACAGCCGATTTCAGACTGTCATAGACCTATGTCTGTTTTAGTCTCGGACACCAGACACTTCCGCCTAAGGATGATGAAATCCCATGTCATGTCCATATCTCCATTCAGTAGATAGTGTATGCTCCGTCTCACTCACTCATCTCTCCCACTTAACCCCATCAGCAGTCAGCAGAGACAGAGGAAGGGGAACCAGACCTGCTGATCATCAAGGAAGAGGGAGAAGCAGATGACCAGGACTCTAGGTCCAGCCACCCAGCCAGAACAGTGGAGGGCAGCAGAGAGCTAACCACCCAACCGGCTGCAGCCACCACAGAGGACCCCGCCTTCCAGCCCAGTGGCCCCAGAGGCAACAACTATAACAACACTGCTATGGAGGTCAGTGGATCTGACGCCGTCCTCCTCCAATCAGAAACAGGGACTGTGAACCAGGGACCACAGCAGTATACAGGATTTGAACCCAGAGCAGAGAGACAGAGTCTGGACACAAAATGTGACATGAATGGAGGCTTCAATCTTCTCAGAGATTCTTTAAACCAGATGTTGAGAGAGGTAGTAGTGACTGATGATGGTGCCTCTGCTGCTCATACTAAAGTAATGGACCTAGGGAGTGGCTCAGTGGGCCCAGAAACGCAGACTAGCTCTGCCATAGAAATGAGAAGTGTAGGGTTAGAAAACCACAGGTTTTCCCCCAAGTTGTTCAATTCCTCATCAGAACATGTGATAGTGATTGACTCTGTATCCACCGGGCAGCAGGTAGATAGAGATTTCGATTGGGGTCAGGTGGGTACAGCTACTACACAACAGGTCAATGGGACTGGACATAAGCAGGGAGTGGGAGGGTTTAACAGAAACGCACCAATGATTCGCCCCGTTCACCCCGAATCGATGAGAGACAACACTACGCAATTGGTTTCACCCGGCTTCCGGCCCTCAGAGATAAATACAGACATGCATCTTGGTACAGGAAAGGCTGGTGAGGCCAACAAAGCTAGTTGGGGCTCATTGGCAAGCCTCCATAGACACTCTGAAATACCAGGAATAAGAGTTCAACAACCAGCTCCTACCTCAGTTCCTGTCGGATATTTTAGACCAAGCGCCACAACTTCCTCTCACTCGAGTAATCTCGCCACACACGTTAGACCAGGCACCGTAGAACGACCGTACGGTTGCCCGAACTGCAATAAGGAGTTTGTCCACGAGAGTGACTTGCGGCGGCATGCAGTCATCCACACCAGAAAGCGGACGTTCTCCTGCACCTTGTGTGAGAAGAGCTTTGTGTGCGCCAGCCATCTCCAAGTTCACCAGAATGTCCACACCGGGGAGAAGCCCTTCAGTTGTGCACAGTGCGGGCGCAGGTTCTCCCACTCCAGCAATCTGAAAAGACATCAGAAGCTTCATCATTGAGAACTGACACAGAATCAAGAGATTCATATAGAAAAAAGCTATGGATTAGCATTATGTCAGTTAGGTTATAGCAATACACTATGAAAGTCCTGCCTACTTCCTGGATCATGTCCCTCGATGTTTTTGAATGGGATTCAAGAGTAAATATGCAAATTCATGAAAACACAGTCTTTTAAGATATATGTACAGTTATATTCGTATTAGTGTATTCATTTACTTCTATCCAATGTCTCTATGAAGGTTTTTGCGCAAAATACAAAACGTGTTTACCCTCCACTACACCACTGATTATAACACAATAACAACAAGGCAACTACTATGAATTTGACTAAATCCCATGTCATGCCCATATCTCCATTCAGTAGATAGTGTATGCTCTGTCTCACTCACTCATCTCTCCCACTTAACCCCATCAGCAGTCAGGAGAGACAGTGGGAGGGGAACCAGACCTGCTGATCATCAAGGAAGAGGGAGAAGCAGATGACCAGGACTCTAGGTCCAGCCACCCAGCCAGAACAGTGGAGGGCAGCAGAGAGCTAACCACCCAACCGGCTGCAGCCACCACAGAGGACCCCGCCTTCCAGTCCAGTGGCCCCAGAGGCAACAATAACAACTACAACGACACCGCTATGGAGGTCAGTGGATCTGACGCCATCCTCCTCCAATCAGAAACACGGAATGTGAACCAGGGACCCCAGCAGCACACAGGATTTGAACCCAGAGCAGAGAGACAGAGTCTGGACACAAAGTGTGACGTGAACGGGGGCCTCAATCTCCTAAGAGATTCTTTAAACCAGGTGTGGAGAGAGGTAGTAGTGACTGATGATGGTGCCTCTGCTGCTCACACTAAAGTAATGGACCTAGGGCATTGCCCAGTGGGCCCAGAAATGCAGACTAGCTCTACCATAGAAATGAGAAGTGTAGGGTTAGAAAACCACAGGTTCCATTCCTCATCAGAACATGTGATAGTGATTGACTCTGTATCCAGTGGGAAGCAGGTAGATAGAGATTTTGAGTGGGGTCAGGTGGGTACAGCTACTACACCACAGATCAATGGGACTGGAAATAAGCAGGGAGTGGGAGTGTTTGAGAGGAACACACCTACGATGGCAAGCCTCCATAGACACTCTGAAATACCAGGAAGAGGAGTTCAACAACCAGCTCATACCTCACTTCCTGTCGGCCATTTTATACAAAGCGCAACAGCTTCATCTCAATCGAGTAATCTTGCCACACACGTTAGACCTGGCACCATAGAGCGATTGTACAGTTGCCTGAGCTGCCATAAGAAGTTTGTATACGAGAGTGACTTGCGGCAGCACGCTGTCATCCACACCAGAAAGCGGGCGTTCGCCTGCACCTTGTGTGAGAAGAGCTTTATGTCCCGAACCGATCTCCAAATGCACCTGAATGTCCACACCGGGGAGAAGCCCTTCAGTTGTGCACATTGCGGGCGCAGGTTCTCCCACTCCAGCAATCTGAAAAGACATCAGAAGCTTCATCATTGAGAAATTGGACAGAAGCAAGATATTCCTATTGAAAAATGCTGTTATAGCAATATCATGAGTTCAAACGTTATTTGTTCTACAGTGCATTCGGAAAGTACTTAGACCCCTTCACTTTTTCAGAATTTTTTACGTTACAGCCTTATTGTGAAATGTATTAAATTGTTTTCCCCCCCCCCCATCATAAATCTACACACAGTACCCCATAATGACAAAGCAATTACATGTTTTTATAAATTTTTGCACATTTATTAAAAATAAAAAACTGAAATCACATTTACGTAAGTATTCAGACCCTTTACTCAGTACTTTGTTGAAGCGCCTTTGGCAGCGATTACAGCCTCAAGTCTCCTTGGGTATGACGCTACAAGCTTGGCACACCTGTATTTGGGGAGTTTCTCCCATTCTTCTCTGCAGATCCTCTCAAGCTCTGTCAGGTTGGATGGGGGAGTGTTGCATCACAGCTATTTTCAGGTCTCTCCAGAGATGTTTGATCGGGTTCAAGTTCGGGCTCTGGCTGGGCCACTCAAGGACATTCAGAGACTTGTCCCGAACCCACTCATGCGTTGTCTTGGCTGTGTGCTTAGGGTCGTTGTCCTGTTGGAAGGTGAACCTTCGCCCCAGTCTGAGGTCCTTAGCGCTCTGGAGCAGGTTTTCATCAAGGATCTCTCTACTTTTCTCTGTTCATCTTTCCCACGATCCTGACTAGTCTCCCAGTCCCTGCCTCTGAAAAACATCCCCACAGCATGATGCTGCCACCACCATGCTTCACCATAGGGATGGTATTGGCCAGGTGATGAGCGGTGCCTGGTTGCCTCCAGACGTGACACTTGGCATTCAGGCCAAAGAGTTCAATGTTGGTTTCATCAGTCTTGGTGAGTCCAAACGTCTTCCATTTAAGAATGATGGAGGCCACTGTGCTCTTGGGGACCTTCGATGCTGCAGAAATCTTTTGGTAGCCTTCCCCAGATCTGTGCCTCGACACAATCCTGTCTCGGAGCTCTACGGACAATTCCTTCAACCTTATGGCTTGGTTTTTGCTCTGACATTCACTGTCAACTGTGGGACCTTTATATAGACAGGTGTGTGCCTTTCCAAATCATGTCCAATCAATTGAATTTACCACAGGTGGACTCCCAATCGAGTTGAAGAAACATCTCAAGGATGATCATTGGAAACAGGATGCACCTGAGCTCAATTTCCAGTCTCATAGCAAAGGGTCTGAATACTTATGTAAATAAGGTATTTCTGTTTTTTATTTTTAATAAATTTGCAAACATTTCTAAACCTGTTTTCGATTTTTCATTATGGGGTATTGTGTGTAGATTGATGAGGAAAAATATATAATATAGTTCATTTTAGAATAAGGCTGTAACGTAACAAAATGTGGAAAAAGTGAAGGGGTCTAAGTACTTTCCGAATGCACCCTGTCTGCAGGATGTTTGCCCTGGTCTCATATGTTTATACTATACAACGTGATTCATATTTACATTATCTGCATAGACTTCAACCTTTTCTTCTTGCCCAGGGACCCCCCCCAGGCAACTGATCATATGTTAGCCAAGAAAATCATGTCTTGTCATATCTTCAGGTGAATGATAATGGTAAGGAGAAGTAATCAACATTTTAAAATGAATAGATTTAGTAGATAGTTGTAGATTTTCACTAAGAGCATCTGTTTAGCTGGTTAAACAAAGGTTAGCCATGTGTTGGCAAAAGTCAAGAAAGCTTACCAGCAGTCAGCGGCACTTGCCGCACTGGTAGCTTATTGACTGGTAGCTTATTGACTGGTAGCTTATTGACTGGTAGCCTATTGACTGGTAGCCTATTGACTGGTAGCCTATTCGCGGGTGCTTTTTCAAGGACTATGTCGGACACTCCAGTGAGTGTAATTGGCTCAATATTAGGTGAGAAATAAAGTTGACATCATTAGAAAGAAGATTCTCCTCTTTTCTACTATAGGTATGTAATTCAAAATGTGTTTATTCTGTCCTAGCTAGCGATATTCATAAAAGCATTGTACATAAAGAAAATGTGTTCCACTTTTTTAAATATATATATTATTTTTTCTGCGGACCCCCTGCAGTACCTCTGTGGCCCCCTGACACCTGGTTGAATAAACTGTTAAGTGTTGTTGTCTCCTTGGCTCTTTTAGTGTCAACAGTATCACTCACATTGACTGTTAAGGTTGATAATGGTTGTGTTCTTCTAATAATACGCCGTGCCTCATACTAAAGATATAGCAGATATTGAAATTGTACTGTGAGAGTGAAAAACTGTCTCTTCTTTTTTTATGAATTTGACCAATGGCTATTGTTTTTTGTTGATCAATTCCTATAATTCAATCAATAAATTATATATTCTCAAATTGACCCTAAATATATATTCACATTTTATTTGTCACATGCGCCGAATACAACAGGTGTAGACTTTACCGTGAAATGCTTACTTACAAGCTCTTTCCCAATGCAGAGTTAAAAAGTGAGAAAGATTTGCTTAATAAATAAAAAGGAAATAGTAACTCAATAAAATAACGAAGCTATATACAAGGAGTACCGGCACAGAGTCATTGTGCAGGGGTACGAGGTAGTTGAGGTAATATGTACATGTAGGTAGGGGTCAAAGTGACGTGGCAATCAGGATGGATACGAAACAGTATGTGGAGACTGTGATAGTGTGTGTGTTTTGTGTGTGTGAGCATATGTAATGTGTGTGTGTGTTCAAATCAAAATGTATTTGTCACATACACGTGTTTAGCAGATGTTATTGCGGGTGTAGCGAAATGCTTGTGCTTCTAGCTCCGACAGTGCAGTAATATCTAACAATTTCACAACATACACACAAATCTAAGTAAGGAATGAAATTTAAGAATATATACATACATGGACAAGCAATGACCATAAACATTTGAAGTCGGAAGTTTACATACACTTAGGTTGGAGTCATTAAAACTTGTTTTTCAACCACTACACACATTTCTTGTTAACAAACTATAGTTTTGGCAAGTCAGTTAGGGCATCTACTTTGTGCATGACACAAGTAATTTTTCCAACAATTGTTAACAGACAGATTATTTCACTTATAATTCACTGTATCACAATTCCAGTGGGTCAGAAGTTTACATACACTAAGTTGACTGTGCCTTTAAACAGCTTGGAAAATTCCAGAAAATGATGCCATGGCTTTAGAAGCTTCTGATAGGCTAATTGACATAATTTGAGTCAATTGGAAGTGTACCTGTGGATGTATTTCAAGGCCTACCTTCAAACTCAGTGCCTCTTTGCCTGACATCATGGGAAAATCAAAAGAAATCAGCCAAGACCTCAGAAAAAAAATCATAGACCTCACAAGTCTGATTCATCCTTGGGAGCAATTTCCAAACGCCTGAAGGTACCACATTCATCTGTACAAACAATAGTATGCAAGTATAAACACCATGGGACCACGCAGCCGTCATACCACTCAGGAAGGAGACGCGTTCTGTCTCCTAGAGATTAACGTAATTTGGAGCGAAAAGTGCAAATCAATTCCAGAACAACAGCAAAGGACCTTGTGAAGTTGCTGGAGGAAACAGGTACAAAAGTATATATGTCCACAGTACAACGAGTCCTATATCGACATAACCTGAAAGGCCGCTCAGCAAGGAAGAAGCCACTGCTCCAAAACCGCCATAAAAAAGCCAGACTACGGTTTGCAACTGCACATGGGGACAAAGATCGTACTTTTTTGAGAAATGTCCTCTGGTCTGATGAAACAAAAATATAACTGTTTGGCCATAATGACCATCGTTATGTTTGGAGGAAAAAGGTGGCAGCTTGCAAGCCGAAGAACACCATCCCAACCGTGAAGCACGGGGTGGCAGCATCATGCTGTGGGGGTGCTTTGCTGCTGGAGGGACTGGTGCACGTCACAAAATAGATGGCATCATGAGGAAGGAATATTATGTGGATATATTGAAGCAACATCTCAAGACATCAGTCAGGAAGTTAAAGTTTGGTCGCAAATGGGTCTTCCAAATGGACAATGACCCCAAGCATCCTTCCAAAGTTGTGGCAAAATGGCTTAAGGACAACAAAGTCAAGGTATTGGAGTGGCCATCACAAAGCCCTGACCTCAATCCTATAGAACATTTGTGGGCAGAACTGAAAAAGCGTGTGCGAGCAAGGAGGCCTACAAACCTGACTCAGTTACACCAGCTCTGTCAGGAGGAATGGGCCAAAATTCACCCAACTTATTGTGGGAAGCTTGTGGAAGGCCACCCGAAATGTTTGACCATGTTTGACCAAGTTAAACAATTTAAAGGCAATGCTACCAAATACTAATTGAGTGTATGCAAACTTTTGACCCACTGGGAATGTGATGAAAGAAATAAAAGCTGAAATAAATCATTCTCTACTATTATTCTGACATTTCACATTCTTAAAATAAAGTGGTGATCCTATCTGACCTAAGACAGGGAA